AGTCTCTTTACAATTTTTAGTCTTTCGTAAGGTCTATTCGGCGGGCCATTCAAACGAAACCACCACTTGTCGCCTCGATTCATCCACGAACGCTTTTTTAACGCAGGCCAAACAAAAGTTCATTTTATCGTTTCTTCGTCTGCGATAATGCTAGCGACATCACCAATTGACTGTGTCAAGATGACTTTGAGGAAAAAGAATTCCTTACGATGATTGGTTCGTTTTGTGAAATCTGAGTCCTTGCCTGTGTCGGGTATTGCTGTTAAGGATTTTTTCGGTGAAAATTTTTTTCCGTTTCAAGAGCAAAAGAGTCTCTCTCTCTGTCAAAAGAACAGGCTAATTCTAGCACCGCTGCCCCACCGAGTGGGTCCGGCGACTGCGTCTTCCTCGTAAATTTTTTTATAAAAAGACAGAATTGCGCACTCACTTCCCTCCCGCGCCTTCCTCCTATACACCAGTCGCCTGCCCAAGCCTGTTAAGCAGCTGATGTGGCGAGGGTGGGCGTACTGGCCGACAAAGTTAAACACCTCGTCTACGTTTGACTCACACAACACGGTTCCCATTACATGTTGCAGACGATACTAAAGTACATGGTCTGACACTCGATATTTTCCTCGTCATGCCAGCCATGGCAAAGTAAATTTGAGTGGCTGAGGAGCAGTACGTGTGCCTACTTATCTTTCTGGTTCCGGGTGGCGGTTAGGGTTATGGTTGACTTAGTAAGCCCGTAACAGTTCTGCAGCAGTGTGTTAGAAGCACTGTCGTCGCCGCTCTGTCCTTGCGGGTAATGCCATTCCGCCTATATCATACGCCGCTGTGCGGCTGCTGGTTGGGCTCGAGGGAGAGAGAGAGAGCTCTGAGGCACAATGGGAGGAGTGAGTTCGGTGAGCGCCCCTCTACCATCGTATATTGACGATCCAACCGGCGTTGGACTTCTAACCAACAGGTCGCGGCATCCAGCCCCAGGTGTTCCATACTTCGGGGTTGGGTATGACTGGCTGAAGCCAGAAATGGCCATCCCAGTCTCCCTTATCTTTGTCTGTATTGCTATTCTACCTATATGTATACGTATGACTTTATACTTAAATGCATGAGGCACCAGCAACTCAAGGAAAAAGGTATTTCCAATGCTACGGCCGCTCGGGCACCAAAACCAACCACCTGGCGAACGTCAAAAATGTATCTGAATTTGTCGAAAGGCAATTGAAAAAGTACCAGATACACATAGCACACAACAGCTTATACACCCTAAGGACAGGGTTGGCTACCTCGAAAAAAAGGTGTCGTCTACAAAATCCCATGTTCTAGTTGTGATGCCGTCTATTGTGGCCAAACTGGGAAATCTGTCTCAGCCCGTATGCATGAATATAAGTCAGCGGTAAAGAGACCCTACCATCTATCCCAGGTGGCCATGCACACACTGGACACTGGGTACAAATTCGCATGGGAAAACACTCGCATTGCTGACACCTGCCCAATAAGGAAAGGCCGTGAATTCCTGGAGGCATTGCACTCAGATGAGGCATGCATCAACCGGCATATCGATCTAGATGCCGCATACAAATTCGTTTAGGACAGATTCAAACTTACTCAACGAATCCTGAGAAGATGACTTTAACCAATCATCGAATCCCTCGTCAGAATCGGTCTAGAAGACAATTGTTTTTGCACACCCGTTGTCTGAAGACGGGCTGGGGAACCAGTTTCGAAAATCTACACAATAAAGTTTACTGTTTCCCGAAGAATTCCATCTTCCTAATTATGTTCCTTGGGATGCCTGTTTTTCAATACACACACATATATACACATAAAAAAGGAAAATAATCTTCGGAAACATCAAACTTTTTTCGTGAACTTCCTAACTAATGATACCAGCCCGTAGACAGACGAAAGGAAAATAATAGAGAAAGTTAGATTTTCACACTAGACCAGTTGGTGCAACGGGAGAGACAGAGGGGTGGTCACAGAGTCATGGTAGGTTTCAAAGCCGCTTCTAATCCTCCGTAGTTACCAAATGACTCCAGGAGATGACTACCGAGTTCATGTGATAAATAGGTATTTTGGCAGATTTTTAATAATTCGTAATGACCCAACTGTGAAAACTCGGCAACCTTGATGGGACTTGAACTCACGACAGCAAGGAGAAGGCTTGAGTACAAAATGCCTATTAGTTAAGTGAGCCTGGTAGTCATCTGGTGGATTCTAGATTGATTACTAGAAGAATCCTGCTTGGGCAGTCAACTTACTGTATCCGATGTGGTGAATTCCAGATGTCGCAGTAGGTTGGACGAGTAACTTGCCCTAAATGTGACTTAATTCACGATTCCCGATCTGGGCTCCGTAATTGAGAAGGTTAGACCATTGGCTGTACTCAAGCCTTGCCAATGCTGTCTTGGGTTCTACTTCAACCGGAGCTTCGATCGCTCTACAATCAGGTGAAATGAAGTAATCAATCATCCACTGTACAGAAGACGAAGATGCGATCACTGGAACAAGAAAATTATTGGCCTGGCGTTTCGGATTCTCACTCGAGTCCATCATCAGAGACAGTCGCAGATAAAGGTGATGGTGGCACAAGGAGCGCAGTATTTATGGCACGTGGCTGCCGTGGGACCATATGCGCACTGTAATTAACAGCTCTCGCAATCACCGCTGGGGTCGTAATTGATTCTGGGATAATAGCTCGCCCGCGAGCAATTATCCTAGTGACAGTGAGCCAGTTTGCCGAGCAATCGTCACGCCAGCATCCAACACGTATGACGAAATCACTGCAATTAAAGACTTGGACTGACAAGCCACCACCGCATCAATTACGACCCCCAGCGGTAATTGCGAAAGCTGTTAATTACAGCGCGCATATGGTTTCACGGCAGCCACGTGCTATAAATACTGCACTGCTTGTGCCACCATCATCTTTATCTGCGACTGTCTCTGATGATGGATTCGAGTGAGAGTCCGAAACGTCAGGCCAATAAAGTTCTTGTTCCAGCGATCGCATCTTCGTCCTCTGAACTGCTATCTGAAACTCGCCTGTTCGCTTCTATTCACTGAACAGTCCACCTAGGAACCTCCGGGTTTCTTTTTTGAAGTGTTGCCGTATGTTTTTCCTTCTTCTTCTTGTCAACAAGTGTCGTCTATTTTTTTCGTTTTGGAATAAGATATTTGAGATAATCTCTGTATCATTGAGGATTTTTCGTGAAATTCCGCAGTTTTTATGACTCCCAGCATACGATAGGCCAAAAGGAAGATTAACAACCAAACATTTGGAACATGTCCCTTTGATTGCTGGCAGATACGGAAACCAATCATCAGGGGTGATGAAGGATTAATAATGAATCAGCTGAGCGCATGTGGTCCGCAAGTGCCGGCAGAAAAACGCGTCAGAACATGTGGCAGTAAGTGAGCCACTTGCAACATCTGAGAGGCAACTCCGTATGTTAGTCCATTGAGTTGTTGTCAGGTCTCTTGGCCTCAGGCAGCTCTTGATTCGCACAAACCACTTAAGTTTTGGCTACGAGATTCAATTTACAGTCCATTTTCAGGACGCACTCAGCAACTTAGGACAGCGGACCACCCCTTTGGCACAGGCAGATTGTGCTCGTATCCTTGTACACAGTCTCCGCAGTGTTAATATCAGCAGCGTGCGTCCAAACAAGTTACTTGAGACTTACATCTGGCTGTAAGCACTGGACCCACTGGTGATGGCGCGTTAATCGAGTTGGCACTTGAGCATTCGACCTGTATGCCTTCAACCCGGGGTGAGGGGGGGGGTAAGACGTGTGAGGCGTAGGTGGGGTGACTGTTAGGCCAGAGTGAGACAACACTTTGTGGCTACATTACGGGTTCGTGTGCGCGTGTGTTTGTGTTTGTTTTGCCCACACAGCGGGTTACGCTGAAGATTCGCTAGACCCAAACGGAGATCGGACTGGCTCACAGAACACGCTTGTCAGGCTGCGCCAAGTCCGCACGAATCTACAATCACTTGGCTCGCATGGCACGCCTTAGACCTACGCATGGCAGGGAAGAGAGAGAGATCGAGACTGACACTGAAGATTCCATCTGCACGGTGCATCAATGCATCCCCACCACAATGGATTTGACTCGCTCGAATCTACAACAACGCACCAAGGGTCGTAACGTGGAAGCCTGCAAGCTGATGGGATAATTCGGTCCTTCTCAGGACTGAAAGTCAGGCTGCAATGGCTCTTTCTTGACGTGGTCATCATGACACCGTCATTAATGCGAGATCCAAGCAGTCCTCACGAAAGCTCGACAAATTTGGAGTGAAGACCAAGTCGTGTGTGTGTGTGTGTCTGCCCTCAAAACGGGCTACGTCTTAGATGCGCTGGACCAACACGGGGGCCACATCGGACTTTGGCAGGCGTTATCTGTGCGCAATAACAAATGCCAACACTCCCGGGGTGCGCTGGCGGACCCTGTTGTCGGCATTCGTCGCTCAACTGGACCACTGCCTCCACCCCATTGTTTTGTGGTCAAAATCCTGGTCTTGGTGTGTGGACCAGGGGTGCGGAGTGGAGCGCCAAGGCGAAGACCTGTCCGAGCCATCCACCTGCGGCCTCGCCCGTCTCCGGTCTTCTTGATTCTGTCTTGACACCGGGCCCAGGCGGGGGAGGAGGAGAGAGTGTAGGTAGATGCAGCGCAAGTCTACCGGCACTATAAACCCCTGCGCAAGTCACCGTCCCTGCTCCCACCTGGTGTGGGGCATACGGTGGATATCGTCGAAATCGACGGTCGAACTGTCGTGTGTGTGTGTGTCACGCGTAAACGGACTGCGCCGGTGCCAGCCTTCGGTCGTCCTGATTCTGTCTTGACAAGTCTTCCTCACTATGAAGTAGTTCACACGCACGTAGCGCGGACGGTAGACGTGGTCGTTTGCGACGGTCGACGCAATGACGTTATAATTAGCAAAACCATAGACCCGTCCCTCTTAGTCGGGGCTGCTACACAACATTGCACGTACACAGCAGGGACTGACACGCTCAGTCATTGCGGTCAATTCCATCTACGGAGATCGCGGTGCATTTCCAACAGGGGAGCATGCTAGGAGTGGAAAGGGGTAGTTGAGTGAGTTTCTTCGCTAGAAAGTGAAAAGGCGAAGCGAGAACACTAGGCGTAGTACGACTTGTTAAATGAACCAGCACGAGCAATACCAAATTCCTGACCTGTCACTGCAGCTCATCTTTTGGAGGAAATTGACGGCAAAGTTGTGGTAGAGACTGACAAAATTTTCCTCAAAATGATTAAAATCACGAAACCCAAACTACGCTAAACGGAGTTTTCGCAGCCGACTGGGTCATTGAACCTAAGGAAGTATTGTCGCAAGGACGCATCCCTGCTTCACTGCTCTTATCAGCGTGAAGAACTCGGGTGTTTATCATCTGTCCGTCAAGTTTCGTTTGAAACCCTGACGCCAGAATAATTCGTTCGATGCATCATTATTTGCTCATAAGTATTCAGGGACGTCTCAGTTTGCGGTGTTGGAGACCATTGTGAGGATCACAAAAATAAGGTCGAAACTGCATCGCACTTCCTGTAACTTTTGATGCTGTTACTGATCAGCAATGATCAAATCGGTGACTCCATGGCTTTTTTAAACCTACACTAGCTCCTGGGAACCTGTTCCCACCTCCAGGTCCACAGTTAGACGATTGCGTAATATTCGGGCTCAGATTTTCCCATCAATATTACCAACGGAGATTTGCCTTGTTCTTCTGTTTTTCTATGGTTGCGTCCCTAAAACCTTTCGGATCTGTTCTTCTCGTCACATATCCTAAAGCATCGAGGTTTGGCCCGCTCGTGAGATGAGGGCCACCGTATTTGTGAATTTCGGCTGGAATTTAGTCCGCACACAGCGGTTCTTCTTCGTACGTTTGTTCTGGTTGATTGAGGTTGGCATTGTTTTCCCCCTGATGGAGTCCATAAAAGGTGTCCTCACGGACTGTATATAGGTGCTTGAGGACGCGCCTAAAGTGCTCGGAGCCACCGCACCCGAAGTTAAAAGTTCTCATTGGTAGGATGGTTCCATTCGAGCTGAAGAACGGCACACGCAATTCGAGGGGCGATACGCGCTGTCTTCCCAACTGCATGGTGGGTTTGTGGACTGTGAATTGTGCGTGAATGAGTTTAAAGTGAAAGCGGAGTTGCGTTTTACCTATCAGAATGTCTATGGCCTCACGCACCTGAGCCCGGTGTCAAGAGAGAGTCAAGAAGACCAGAGGGGGCATCGGGAGTAGTGACTGACAGAGACAAAAACTCGTCTACGCGCGCCACACACACGCCTGGCTCGCGACCGAAGGACCAGAAATTCACAAGGACGGGAAGGTAGTAGCGGCCCGGGTCCAAACTGAGGGGAGGTGTCGTAGATATGAGGAGCCATTGCGGCCAGACCCTCAGTCCGGAAAGGAGGACCGAGTTATATCTTCAGTTTGCGGCCTTCCAAGCCACAGCATTTTGCGCAGCGTGACATATCCAAGCGCGTCAGATTGTATGTAGTGAGAAATATGCGCTGAGTGTTGTGGGAATGCAGTTGCCAGGGTCAACCTCATACTCTCTTTACGTATCCAAGCACCAGTCCGTTGTCCCAACTGGTCGGCCAAGTGATGCGGGGACTAAGCGTACAGTGAGTGACCGATCTCATGAACTGTTGACTGAAATTCTGAAATGCGTTTTTGATTAGAAAGGATTACTTAGGCGCGGTTGTAATACTGATTATTTTGCGGCATAATCCTATAATATTTCGAACTTGGCAGGATGCTAGCTTTTGAACACATTGCTTCTCAATCTGCTGTAGAAGCTGTACTCGGTAAGAAATGACTACTTAACTAGTATGCATTTTTCATATTGACCCAGCTGTGAAAAACACGGCTCCTCGGTGGAATTCGAACCTACACAGTAAGGGGAAGGCTTTAGAACAGCTAACATTCTAACCAATTGAGCTACGAGGCCCCGCCGGACGACGCGATTTCAATCACATTCAGGTCAAGTTACCCGCCTAATCTACTGCAATGTCTAGAATCCACCAAATTTGATACAGTAAGTTGACTGCCCAAGCAGGATTCCCTAAGAAATTCGCCTAGAATCCACCAAGCTCACGTAATTCATGCATGTTTTGGCAGATTTTGAATACTTCATATTGACCCAAATGTGAAAAACTCGGCGCCTCGGTGGGTTTATTCAAAATCTGCCAAAACATCTATGAATTACGTGAGCCTGGTAGTCATCTGGTGGATTCTAGGTGAATTACTTAGGAAATCCTGCTTGGGCAGTCAACTTACTGTATCAGATTTTGTGGATTCCAGACGTTGCAGTAGATTGGGCGGGTAACTTGACCAAAATGTGATTAAACTCGCGTCGCCCGGCGGGGCCTCGTAGCTCAAGTGGTTAGAATGTTAGCTGTTCTAAAGCCTTTCCCTTACTGCGTAGGTTCGAATCCCACAGAGGCGCCGAGTTTTTCACAGTTGGGTCAATAGGAATTATTCAAAATCTGCCAAAACATCTATGAGTATGCACTTTCCCGCTGATTTTCGATAATATTGCAAATTTAAATATATTTTATAGGAACTACGAACAAAAATATGTTTTCTTTCAATCGTTCGATACAAAATAACGTAAATCTTATATTTTATATACTCAGATGCGGAGTATAATTAGATTTTAAAAAGTTTCTTCTAATGCGTTTTTTTTCAGGCCACACAATGTCCACTCATATAGCATCGTACCTGTCCGTTTACCACTGCTTCTCATGAAATGTACAACACATTCCGCATCCATAGCAGAATTTTATGGACGCTATGGGATAGTTTTTAAGGCATAGAAGAATATATGACTTTCTGTACGAGGAACGCATGCACTTCGCAGGCTGAAATCGCTAAGCGCTAATGCAACGACTGATCAGGTTCCATATTATTCGGCGATTAGAAAACGTTTTTAAACCCAGTTATACTCATTTTTCGAGTATAAAATACAAAGACGACGTGATTTTCTATCGATAGATCGAAAGAAAGCATATTTGTGTTCGTAATTTCTGCAAAATATGTTCGACTTTGCATGATTATCGAAAATCATGCGGCAAATACATACTATTTAAGTAGTCATTTTTTTCCGAGTACGGCTTCTACAGGAGCTTGAAAGGCGGTGTATTCAAAAGCTGACATCCTACAGAGTCCTTATAGAATCATGCAACAAGACAATCAGTATTACAACCGCGCCGGAGTAATCATACCTAATCGAAGACGCATTTCAGAATTTCAGTCGACAATTCATGAGTTTGGTCACTCATTGTGGGTGGCTTGTGCGACATGAGTCTGCGTCTAGGCGAGCCACCGCATGGCATTTGTTATGGATGCGCGGCCCAATTGGGCGTCCTGTATCCTTATATAGTCCCCATGTTGGTCAAGAGAAACTTCCGCGTGGCTCGTTGTACGGAACGCAAGGTAGATGTCAGCAACACCCAGAATTCCCAGCCGGTCAACCACGCAATTACTGATCATGCCCAACGAAACCTAGTTTCGATTATCGGATGATACCCGGTGCCTTCTATGTGATATGGTCTCTGACATCAACGGCGCAATTCCGAAGAGCCAGGAGCTATAGACTCTCTTCATGAACGCAAAGAAGTCCTTCTTTTCGCCATTGTCTACGTATCCATGGGTTTCAGACGTCTTAATAGTCAGTCAGTCGTATCTACTATGGTCTCTGCTGTCGTGGTCGACGTCTTTGTAGAGAGGGGTCTTTATTGCAGGCTGAATTTCGGACGGCGTTGCTGTTTTTTTCTTGAGACCAGCTGGTGTATATCTTAATCACATTTATCAAGCTTGATCCGATGTTTTCAGTGTGTAGATCCGATGAGATGAGCGTAGATGCACCCCACAGACCCCGTAAACTGTGCTCAACCCTTGCTGGTGGCCTAATCTAGTGTCTATTTATTCAGAGACTCGGAGTCGGCTTCCAGACAGACCTAGTGTTGCGGTATTTAAGTTCATTGTACTTTCTTACCTTGAAGAATCCTTTTTTGTCGGATTTACAGCCTCGTTTTCGAGATGCCTAGGCAACAAGATTGGTTCCACAAATTTCCAGTGCTGTTTCCTCGGGAAAATCTTCCTAAAAAACGGTAAATGCCTAACGTCTGCCTCAGAGAGCTTCCACTCACCCAGTTTACTCTCCTCCGTGATCAAAAATTACAACTCGGGGCTGTCTCTGCGGTTGGATACAATCCTACTTTAGAGACGAGCAGGCAGTGATCCGGAACTCGGGTCGGCGCTGGACCGCTGTCACGAACACGTTATGGTGGTTTGGCGGTTGGCAGTGACACGATCGAGGGTGCATCTATGGTTTTCCTACGCCCTGGGAGCCCTGATCGACGGACATCGATGCAGTAATCACCTTACTGCTTTTGGGGCATAAGCAACTCAAGGTCATACAGTTTCATCATCAAGGCCTCTGCGACGATGCGACCGCACTTTATCCCCAACACGCCCATCTGAAGCTCACTTGCGTCCAGGCGGTCACGGCCGTTCATACCTCATCCGAATACACCACCTCCGGGTAGTTAAATACGCACTATTAGACACCAGTAATCCAGCTCCGATGTATATAGGTATGCAAGCGTCCAACACAGCAGTTTCGCTCTCCCCTCTCTAAATTAACATAAGCAGTGCACGTCCTGGCTTCGCCAGGTCCCGCCTACCAGGGTGGAGGTTTCTTTTGCTGCAAATTCGACCGTCGATTTCGACAGCGTCTACCGTGTACTCTACAGCAGAATGGAAACAGGCACGGTGAATTTCACGTGAATTAGTTCATAGTAATAGTAGACTTTCACTGCATCTCCCGCACTCTCGCCGCCTTCCCCACATGGGCCCGGTGTCAGGACAATGTCAAGAAGAGCGGACGCGACCGTAGCCGCCGATAAGCTTGCTGGCTCGGATCTCACGGAGTGGGAGTGCCGGCAGACTTGCGCTGCATCTACCGCATTCTCTCCTCCCTGCCTGAGCCTTGTGCCAAGACAGAGTCAAAAAGACCGCAGACAATGGAGGTCGCAGCTGGATGACACGGTCGAGCTCGCACTTTGGCGTTCCACCACACCCCCTGGTCCACACAACAAATGACCAGGTTTTTGACCAACACAGCAGAGAGTGGAAACTGGTACGGCCGAAGCCGCATCTAAGCGTGCCGCCATCGCCAGGCTCGGATCCCACGGAGTGGGAGTGCCAAAAAGGCTACATTAAGAAAGAGCCATTGCAGTCTGAATCTCAGTCCACCGATCCCTCATTCCGCGCAAACGCACACTGGGGCTGACTGTGAGGTCGGATTTATCTCCATTAATTGGCAGCGCAAGTCTACTGGCACTATAAACCCCTGCGCAAGTCACCGTCCCTGCTCCCACCGCTACTGCTGTGGGGCACACGGTGGACATCATCGAAATCGATGGTCGAACTGTCAATTGGCAACCTTCCAAGCCATGGTTTTTAGCGCACCGTGATAGCTCCAAGCGCGTCAGTTTGTTTATAGTGAGGAAAATGCACTGAGGCGTCGAGTTCACTTTCTCTCTTTCCACGCCTAGGCATCAGTCAAATGTCCGAGACGGTGAGAAGTTTGGTGTCGGACGGGGGCGCAGTGGCTGACTCAGTTAGAGAACCCATTTTCGCGCGCCACATGTGCGACCTAGTCCCCCAAACGCATGCACCAAGCGGATGAAGTGTCGGTTTCACCTGATAATCAATAATTAACTCGTAGCCAGCACTGGTGCTGGCAGTAAACAGGACTGGCGGAGCTGAATGCCTTATCGTAGACTTTACTATCCGGTCTACGAGTTCTCTTCACCGATCTATGATGATAAACAACCAGAATAGTCATTGAAGTCGCCATACCTCTAATAAATGTCCAGGCGAACTCTTCTTCGATCAGAATACGTGGAAAACAGATTTGTTCCTCCACCTTCTCTCGTTAAGAAAAAATACCCCCCAGACTACCCGAAGAATTGATCGTAATCGGCGTTCCGTCTGGGTTGTATATTAGTACCGTGGTCTGGCTTATAAAACTAGTCAATCCATTTGCCAGTGCCCGTGCGCTACCGTGCTTTTACCAATCAAATATCGCCAAGTACCGCCAATCAGAAGAGGACAGGGCAAAACGTAGAGCGGTATCGGTTATTGTATAGGAAAATGACAAACAGGACAATTCCGCATTCGTGTGATTTCCGTCTCGTAGGCGCTGTGCTTACAGGTAGGGCACATCCAGAATTGGTAGTCTGTCACTGGTTGGCCCGTTACCGCGCAGATTGGTATTTTCGTCTCACTATATTGAAAAAGGAGGAATATTATAAAAATTACTTTGGCGCGTGATTCTTATCAGGGAAGAACGGCCCACATGACTATACGCGGCCGTAGAATACGCATTCATACTAATTCTAGGCCAGCATAAGATTATAGCGAAATTTTTTTACTCATAACTGTTCCTGTGGCTAAAATTCGCATCCAAAATAAGTTGAAATTTGGCATTTATAAACAAACCAGCCCAGAATCATCTGAACCCCCCATGTGGGGCAATGTAATTTTCATTTTCCGTGCCATCTATTTTCCTAGCACGCAGCGGGTGAAAAGGGTGAATCCATCAGTCTCAGACCTGGACCTCCATGAAATATATTCTCGATCTAACATCCGTAAAGTCATGGCAACAAGGCACGTACGTGAAGACTGTTCACGTCGTTAAGGCTATAGCTGTTTCAGACATCGGTGCACGAGCCTGGAACAAAGTTCCTGGGGCAAGATCTAGTTGACTGGACAAGGCGATCGCTGTGTTGGAAGTCCTTTAATGTTCCCACTACGTGCGGATAACATTGCTACTGAATTTCCAGCCGTGAATAGTACATGGTTCTTCCACTGAAGTGGATGAAATTCCCCTCAAATACTTGAGTGAACAAGAGGCCTTTTCCCAAGCACTATAGTTCGGGCTCACGCGTCAATTTCCGACGGAATTTTAATGTTAACATTGAAAAAGATGAACTGAACACTTGATTTTACATGGAGGACTTTGGGAGATCCAGGGGCAAGCCACCACCACCCAGCATGCGACACTTACAGTTTATTAGTCCGTCAGAATAAAAGGCACTCTTTTTATACCGCGATCCCTAAGCTCTCGACTAACCCGCATAGGGCCTCAGCCTGTCTACTAGTCTCGTCGTTCATTAAAACTCCCCTTCGCCCAGATGCCGGTTGCTAACGCGTGCGGTTGTTTATTCACAGAACGTCAGCGACAGATGCCCGACCAATCAGAGGCCAGAGGCACTCGCGCGTCTGAAAGTGTGGAAAGGCGCGACTGCGGTCCAAACGTTTCTGCTCGCAAATGATTTTCATTTGGTAATTCGCAAATGAGAAAGGCGGAGATAATTCCAAAGCCAGCTATAAGTATCAACGCCTATCGGAGAGAGAAAAAAAATATGCAGTAACAATATGTTCTCCATAATTTGCTGCTTAACAATTCGTTAGGGGGAAGCTACATACGCGGATGACCACCTGAACGAAAATCAATATTCCGCCTGACGTGATTAATCACGGTAGAAAGGCGTAAATTGACCAATGACACTAGCCTGTGACGCCAGCTCGTATAGGAGAGAGTCGGGGGTTAATTTCAAAAGACAGAGTCGCAAGTTAATGCTCAGGGTGCATTAGATTGAATAGACAGACGTTAAGATGTGGTTATGCGACCCCACCTCATGGACAAAATACTTCATAGGTATTTTGGCAGATTTTGAATAATTCATATTGACCCAACTATGAAAAACTCGGCGCCGACTTTTTCACAGTTGGGTCAATATGGACACAATACTGTTGGTGTTAGGGTTAGGATTAGAGGTTAAGGTTAGGGTTGGAGGTTAGAGCAACTATTTCTCAAACACTCAAATTACAACCGCGCATTTTGCATACAACTACTTGATCTCATCGCCTGCACGTTCCCCAGTCCCACCTCTAAAAACCCCTACTGCCACCGGTCTCGTATTACAGGCGGCTGGGGTTTGTTTACTTCAGGTGGGACTACATAACTACATCTGACCAAGCAGACTTCCACCCGCCCTGCGTGGACCCAGAACTGAGCGCATTGCAAAGAGGCGGGCAGTATGTCTCAGCAAAACGACTGCATTTGATGCGCTCGCTCAGTAGTCACTAACTACATCCCCACAGTGTCTACATATTGCCGAAGGTTCGAAATCCCCATTTAACCATCAAACTAATAAACTAAGGTCTCTTCCAATGTCTCTTTCAACTTACTAGTCCACCAACGAACTGAAGATAAGGCTGCATTGACTCATTGTTAAAGTGCTCTCTGTGCCAACTATCTCCGATGAGAGATCTGAGACCAGCGCGTACTTAGCACACGTAGGCGTGGATCCGACCTCTTCAGTCGCTGCGATCACGCCTGTATCCAGTCAGCAGAGAAAGGTGAGCGTGAGACGAGAGAGCGAAACACAGTTCGCGTGGAGCCTCTTTACTGTACGCCCGACTCGTGCGTAGGTCACTACCCTGACCTCAAGACAATGGTAGTCGACGCACTTTGCGACGGACGGACTATGCATTGTCGCATTTAGTTTCCGGATAAGCATTTCTTCTTCGAAAGTTGTCGTCTTTTTCACTATCGCACCTTGGCCGAATTCGGTCTGTTCTTGAACTCTGCCGCCAATTCGGGGGTTGTCTGCGTTGGAAGGCCAGTGAAGCGGTGTGTGAACATTCATGTGTAAACAGATATCCGGTGTACGCCGGCAGGGAGGACCGGTAGAGATGGAACGCTGACAAAAATCATTCTGAGTGAGTACTCATGACCAATCTGATAGACCTCCTCTGAAGATCACATACGTTGTGCCCGTGTGCATGCTTGTATCTCTGATTCCAGATAATAGTTAGAGTTATGATTAATCTCATTAAGATATATTAAGCCCGAAACAGTTCTGGTGAGACAGGACAGGCAGCCCATTGGCGTGTGAGGGAGTGGTCCCGACGTCATGACAAGATTCTGAGTGAGGGGAGAGGGGAGGGGAGAGTTTGCGGGACAACTACGGCTCCTTGCGGTGGAAGGGCGGGCGGGTGGATCGTGGATCAGTTGGACTGCCGGTGGCAGAATTCGCGGTTGTTGATGTGCGAATAGGCCAGGGGTCAGTCATTCATGAACGCACACCGTCGTAATGGGCATACAGGTCAACATGGCGGTTGATACTACCCGCATTGGACCACCAAGCCTCGAGAAATTCCCTCGCTCGCTTTGTGTTAGCCATGGCGACGACCTCAGTGCCATCCCAATTGAATCGGTGATCGTACTCGAGTCCATGGGCGAGGGACAGGGGGTCTCGTCGACGGATAGCTAATTTGTGTTCATTGACGCTGGTGCCCAGGCGTCGACCCGTATGACCAACATACACGCAGGAGCCATCTGCGCTCAGGATGCGACAAAATACATTCTTTGTTGCCCTTCGAGAATGCGATCTCTGACTTGAGATAGTGCTGCGCGTAGTGAGGATGGCGATTTTTGGGCAACGTGAATGCCCAGGCGATTTGAATGCTGGGAGAGTATTTCGGAAGTTCCTCGTATATATGACAGGGAGTAGAATTTTCGTGCCACAATATCTCCGTTGGGGGTGGTGTCTTGCGACTGTGCCAAGTGCCTGAGGCAGTTCTCCACCAAGCTGATCGGATATCCCCTAGATCGAAATAACCGCTACAGGTGAGCAAGCTCTTTCTTGAGGAGATCGTTGATGTTGCAATAACGGTAGGCCCGATGGAACAGAGTTCAGACACAGTCTCCTTTTTGGGCTTCAGGGTGGTTGCTTGCATAGTTGAGGATAATCTCAGAATTATATTCTCTTCTATGGATGCTTGTTGCGAGGCTACCATTGGTCAACTTTTGTATCCTCACTTCCAGAAACGGCAAGCGGTATCCAATCGCCTCTCCACGGGTAAACTGTACGGTTGAGAAGACATTATTCAGTCTCTGATGCAGCTGTTCGACTTCGTAGTTCTTTATTGCGACAAAGGTGTCATTTACTCAGCAAAGTCACATTCTGGGCTGAATAGCTTGGCAAACTTCCTCTTCTATTCACTGCAACACTGGTTCGGCGTTCAGTCCTGATATTGGCAAACCCATCGGGTTTCTCTCCGCATGGTTGTAGTACTTATTGCCGTATTGGCAATAGTTCCTAAAGCAGGGTTTAAGCAGTTCTATAACCTGCTGAGTTGAGATCTCAATGGGATCATTTTGTAACTTTCGGCTATGCATCCGATTGCCAAATCATGAGAAAGCAAGGCAACGATGTCAAAAGACAGGAGGCATTCATCAGTACATACTTTGAGGCCTTGGATCCCGTGGAGAAATGCGTGAGAGTTGTTAATGTTGCAGCCCGATCCCTGAGTAAGCGACTACAGATGACTGTACAATAACTTAGTTTTATTGTAAGTAGGTGGTCCGATGAGCGACACTATAGTCCTCAGCCGAGCACCCACATTGTGCACTTTTGGAAGGTCATCCGCGTGTGTTATTTGGAGATCACTGAGTGTCATCATTCTATACCGATTCCGAATGCATACCACCTCTGATCTCCAACGTATATTTGTGCGTCAAAAGTCTATTCTTACCAGACGTTGGGAGAAATTCGCACAGAGACAGGCGATAACTTTTAAACAGTTGACCTTCCTCCATCGCTCTCACGATCACGGTGAGTTGCCGAAGTCTCTTCGTCTACAACCGACGTTGCCAAATGAGACCGGGAGATTTCTTTCGTGCAAAAACAGATATCGCATTTTGAATGCTATAATATATGACGTCCACAATCGTCTTTGCAGATTCGAAGCAAAACTTGGTGAGCGCCCGTCTGTAATGATTGATATTCCCGATCACAACCGAGAGGAAAATGGGTCCGTAGCTCAGTGGCAGAGCGTCAAACTCCATGACCACACGTATCATTTCCATGTTGAAATTTATGCAGACAGCCTTAGCTATCATCGTGAGAACTGGCAGCTGATTCGCAAAAATTAACCCTAAACACATCAACCACCGATCGTCTTGTCAAACGATGCTATTAATTAATTGAAGCTTCTGCAGCCGCGCAAACGTGCGGTAGACTTTTCCAGCGACGTGTACCAATTTGCAGAGTAGTTTCGCAACCTCAAATGGGCTCGGGAATGAACCGATGAGACGCCGTTTGAGGGGCGCGCGTTTACGACGCACGTGCGTACGCAAGCGTGACTCAGCCGCCGCATTTATTTTCAACCAATCAGGTGTTAGCTCTCCCTCCCCGATATCGTGTGAACAAGAGCTCGGGTTGACTGTGCCCCGTAGGCCGGTAGATGGAGATTAAGCAAACACCTATAAGTCGAACAGTAAATCATCCAAAAAACTACTATGAGCTAGCATCGCCTGCCAAAGTAACAAGCTGCCCGAACAACAGGTCAGCAATAATCAACAGAACAGTCAGCGCTTCCCGCAGGCAGTGCGCGGCATCAAGCTGCCACCACATATTATGGCTTTTAACTATCAAGCAATGAAGACAGGTCTCGGTTAAATACGAAAAGTGAGAAAACGCGCGCAATCAGAAAATATGGGCCGTCACATGGGATCCAGCCGCCGACATTAGACTGAACAGTGCGTCGGCTTCCTTGAGTCCGAAACAAAAAAATATCGCATAACCGCGAAGCGCGGCCGTTGCAACGTCAAAGTGACAAATCCAGCAGTAAATCAGGTCTGTGAGTCGACTGCTGTCCAGTAGTGCTCGAGTTCTAGCCGTTACTTTTCTCATTTATCCCTGCCATGACCAGGAAATATTCTGGTTTTTTTGAAATATCACAGACTGTAGCAAAACTTGGCAAAGTAGGGCGCATAGTCTTCGGTTATGTATAACATTTACATTCTTGTTGAATTTATACCCCTCTGTTAATTGCACTTTCGCGGAAAACGTAGAAAACTGTTATAGGGGAATAAGTAGAAACGGTATAGCGTGAAATAGAATCCACGGAGGGCATTGCACACCATTTATACGTAAACCGCGCGGATAAAGCGTAATATAACCAGCCCGTGGAAATTAACCCCCAGACCTCACTGGTTCCCGTGAATGCGGCAACTCTAAACACCAGGCCAACTTCATTGCTAAATGCCGGCCATCATGCATGCAAGAACGGTACCGGCAGAACCAACCACATAATGTAATTTAATATTAAAGCTCACATATCCAAACTCCCCCCGAATGCGACGTCTTGCCGGGGCAGTATTAACTCTCTACTACAACTCATCCGTAACCTATCCGTCTGAGCTTTAGCTGCCTCCAGACCCACTACTCGGGAGACTGAATCCGCATCTCTCCGATTTAACTGCAAGACATGTACGACAAACAGGCAGTCATCAATGGCGCGTGACAGTGGTGTTCATTTATCTGGCCTGACCTAAGGACAGAAGTAGGAACGTGCTCTTTTGCACTGAATCATCAGTCCAAAGCCCGCGACCTGGGGTTGGGATAATTTGGGCTGAAGACGGTGAACAATTTTTGATTCATTGGTTGGTTACTGATCGAATGATTATTGATTGTTCGACCGTCTACAAGGACCGTAGACTGGAGCCGCGAGGCAAAATGAACCGCCGCCCGTACTCCGTCTCACTATCAGGTTTGATCTACAAAGATCACCTTCGCACGGCTTTGAATAGTAGCCATCGCAGCTGATAGACACCGAGTCCATGGCGCCCCTGGTAGATTGTTCAGCTCAGTTATCGACCGTTTCGCGACCCCCATCACCAGTTCTGACTGATGACGGCAACCAAGCCAGAAATGGCATTCCGCTCCATTTCAGTCATTGGGGAGCTTTTAGAGCTCTCCTTCGCCTTGACGGAGCATTTTCAATTTTAAGTGACAACATCACAGAAAACAGACTTTTGCGTCCTAACAAAACTCTTCTTTTGTGGAGAACAAGTGGGGATAGCCTATACGTTGCGAAAACAGAACCCGAGCCTACCTTTCAAGCATTGCGTCCAATTCCATTGAACTAGAAGATTTCACCTGATTCTTTGGTGGATACCTTAACAAAGGAAATAATAAAGGTGAAAAAGTGGAGTACTGTGACCAAACTGCATTACAACTCCTCCTGGGTCATTATAAGTATTCACGTTTCGGATCTAGACCCCAAAACCATGGTCACATAGCAGATCAGTCAATTCATGCTTTTTCTCCATACGGTAAACCGCGTACATACCGAAGTACGAACACGGCAATATGGGAAGCGCCTGGTATCGGCTCTTGGGTGGTTATATCGAAGTGCGATGGTCGACAACTCGAAGATCACCAAATTAAAAGTCAGGGCAGACATAATTATTATAATTTTTTACTGAGGCTGCAAGGTGCACACGCGGCTCAGCCAGCAGTGTCAGTAAGTTTTCTCACCAGCCTTTTCGGCTGTCTAAGCTGTTCGCCTAGGTGTAAAGCGGCTATGACCAGTTAATAAGGACAATAATATAGACCGGCGTCAGGGCGTCTGCGAACCGACACTTGGTCAGATCTTAGTATGCAGCCGTCCATGAAGCAATCTATTTCCAGCTGCCTGTAATACGGGATTGGTGGCAAAGGAGATTTTATGGGTGGGATCAGGGAACAAGTCAGTGAGCTAGCTGGGGAGAAATGAGTTAATTAAGTGTACAATAAAACTCTAAGTGAGCTGAAAATGAGGCGCCCATGATAAAAATGCGGTAGGGATTTAACCAGCCAACCGACGGTGACAACGCATGGCTAGCATCATTAGACATGGCGTGCAGCGGCACATGATGGAGATTATACTGCTGAACTACTGGTTTGTTTTCAATTAGCGAGATTATGCTGAAATAGCACACCTGAACATTGCTCAAACGGAAAAGGACAGTCTTGTACTCGAGTTTAGAGGTATGGTTAGCCTTAGGGGTAAGATGATAGTTGGTAACCGTGCCCACAGACTTCACAATGGTACCTACTGGATCGACTTCAGCAGCTGTGATTGCGTTCTCATTATGCTTCTAAAGTCACGCGCAAGCTGTATTGCCTGTATTAGACTCATTTAGGGGTACTATCCTAGGCAGATTTGCACCGGTAACGATGACAATAAGGCTTACCCTATGTCAAATTTCATTAAAAGAGGTAGTTGGCAACCGTGCCCGCAGAATCCACAATTGTACCTACTGGCTTGATTTCAGTAGCTGTGATTGCGTTTGGTTAGGCCTAGGGGTAGGGCAAGGGTTGCCCTCATTCTAACCCCAAATCGCAACCGTAAGCCTAACACTGACCGCACCCCCTAGACCCTAGCACTAGCCCTAAATCTAACCGCTAACTCTACCCCTAACCCCAGCCACTAACCCTAGCCCTAGCCACTGACCATAACCCTAACCCTAACCCATAACCCCTGAAACTAACCTCTTACCCCAATCCCAAACCCTAACCCCTAGTCCCAACACCTAACACTAACCCCTAACGCTACCTAACCCTACCCTAACGCCTAACACTTACCCCCAACACCTAACCCAGACAACTCGAAGGTTAGGAGGAAAAGACAAACACCAAGTCAACGTAATTACCCCTGCACGAATCAAATCAGTAGTTCAAAAATATTATTTCCCGTATGTACGGCTGCACAATCAGATCCAAGCACTGCAATCTGGCTTTGAATTAGTCCCAAGAAGGAACATATTCTAAGAATTCACGTGGACGTGGTGTGTGGCGGCCCATCCTGATTGTAGGACATGAAGGGTTTTTCGAATCGATAACAAAGATAAGGGAACGTTTACATGTCAATAAGTTGCATTAAACAGGGCGATGGATGAGATTACTTCTTAAGTTTGTTAGAACGCAAAAGGACCGCATTCTTCACTTAAAAATAAAAACGTCTTACCTGCTGAAAATACTGACGGCGAGGTTCTCCAATTCTTCTCGCTCGGCCGGACTCCAGTTTGGCAAGTTCTTGAGCTTCAGGAAGGCCTTTGAGGCCGTAGCAAAGGCTCGGGCGGACAAGGCGCAAAGAGCTGAAAAGGACAAGATGTGTGAGAGCGACGCATAGATGCGGAGCGAGGCATGACTCACCAATGATGGCGTAGACCTTCTGGGGTTCGATTATGTCATCCAGATCTCTCAGAAGCAGTGCTGTCCTCAGGGCATGTTCGTAATGCCCTGAGTAGAGTTGGTTCTGGCAGAGCATGAGAAAGTGGTAGGCCTCTGCGCCGCGCCAGGGTTGGTCGACCAGGCGAGTCACCTCGTAAGTGCTGAGCAGGAGACGTTTCGCCAGCGGACAGGTCACCTTCTTACGCTTCCGTCCGCTGTTCTGTTTTGTCTTTTGCCTCCTTCCGCCGGATTCGGCAACAGTCTTGCAGCTACCGAGGTCCCCTCGGCCACCGTCTTCGCCGAATTCCTCCATGAAGAGGGGTTTCTGCCCGTTCTGCGCAACTCCCTTCTCCGCATCCTCCTCCTCATCTTCTTCCGTCGCGTCTCCTTCACCCTCTTCCTCCTCATCCACAGTTTGATTGAGCAGTGATTCAAGAATTGTGGTGGACTGAAAGCAAAGAGAGAGAGAGAGAGGGAAGTAGAGGGGGATTGTTTCCCGACCAAATATAGCGGGAGGGAGCAGTTGGCAAAATATTAAACGAACCTCCTGGCATCGGCCGTCACCAAGCCTATTCTCCTGCTCATATCTCACCCGATCGTGGTGTTTCTCTACCAGCAGACCAACCAGGACGTAAATCTCCTTTACTTTGCGCAGGGAACAGCCCGCTTTCGCGGCTGACTGGGCCTCCTAGAAGGAACATATGAGGACCATCAAATGATATCTAGAAATAGGAACATCAACTCCACACAACGTGCAGAGGGAGATAAGAGACAGTTCGTGTGGTGGCGGGAGAAACACAGGTAAAAGTCCGGGTTAGATGTGGTTATGTAGCCCCACCTGAAGTAAACAAACCCTGGCCGGGACCGGTGGTAATAGGGGCTTTCACAGATGGGGCCGGAGTACGCACAGGCGACGAGGTCAAGTAGTTGTATGTAAAGGAAAGGCTATTGGGAATGCGCGGTTGTGCTTTGAGTTGTTGAGAAATAGTTGTCCTTAACCCTCACCCTAACCCTAACTTCCAACTCCAGCCCCTAACACCAACTCCAACAGTATTGTGTCCATCAGATGGGGCTACATAAGCACAACTTACCAAGATTCGGCTTAGACTCATGGGTAGCAGTACGTTCCAGTCGAACTATGAGCGTGGTCTGAGTTAATTTACTAAACAATGTGAAATTGCCTCATCTTGTTTATGACGTCGGAACAAGGTAACAGCGTAGTCTGTATGCGATAGCTAAGGCCTTTTCACATGATGGCATCCATCCGCTGGTCATACCTGCGTGGTGGAGAAGTTGCTCGCTATGTTCTGTACATGATCCATCATTCTCACAGTCATCTCAACGGGGATCACAACCTATCAGCCAGGCACCGGCGTCCTCGGACAGATGTTATCCTGGCAATCGGTCCATATTTTTTTTCCAAAATAGGTATAATAGCGAAAGAAGACATATACTGGCCGGCATGATTTAGTGGTCGGCCAATTATACTGGAACATTCTGACGGACTTTAAGATCTCAGAAATAAAAACATGAAGCAGAATGTCAAAAAGGTTTTCTCCAGAACGAAGATGATGCCGTGAGAGACAATTTTTGTGCCAAAAGTAACGACAAAGCGGTTTACTTGAGAAACCGGCCCAATACCGTATGCATTTAAAACGGGAAAACTGTTTTTAATACCACCCAACCTAAGTGCATAGCTAAGTATCGACAGAGGTAAGAGATACTGGGATGGTCGTTTCGGACTTATCGGTAGTCACCAGCCAGCTATACCCGTGGCGAAATTTAAACAAACTGGGATTTGAACTCGGACTCTTTGACCATCGAGAGTTACATCAAACACCCACTTCGACATTCATTCATTATCATGTGCATAAATTGGTTACTGTACTAGCTGACTTATGTATCCCGCGATTTTTGTGGACACTTTTTCATTTGCATTAACGGTGGCATGCAGGTGCTCAATAAAGCACTTTTAATGTTATGAGGTGTCTAACGAGAGCAATTTCAACAGGCCACAATGACTGAACCTATCAGTGTTATGGAGAGGAAAAACTCACGCGTAGCATCAGCTTGGCGGCGTCCAGGTAGTGTCCAGCACGCTTAAGCAACTCGACGGCCTGAACCGTCCAGCCTTGTTCAAGGAGGTGTAGGACAGAGGCCCTCAGTTGGTTGTCGAGGCGTCTCTTGCTGACGGACACATCGCTGTCACCGCTGAGGGCGGGCAACAGGTCGAGAGCAATTTGCCATTCATTCAGCTCCAGGCAGACATCAATGGCTTCCTTATATCGGGCACACTATTGCGCGTCGAGAAATACGACACCAAATACGTGGGTTAGCATCAAATTTGACGTTATTAAGTAACCAACTCAATCTTTTGTTTGTCTTGGTAGGAGCAAAGCCTCGTTTTCATTCCAAAATGCAATCAGATCCAAACGCGAATCTGTGGTAGAATGGAGTTGTAGGGCTTACTAGGGTCTGATGCAATCGTGACCATTGTAACTAGACCTACCCGGTAGGCGAACTCAGCATTAATCATTCCAGCCCAAGCTACTATGCGCAGTAGGATCACAAAAAGCAGGTACCAGTTAAGCGTCAAGGAGCAGACTAGGATAGTGCATCGCATTCGGTGGCTAAACTGTCCATGTAACCATACAGGTCAAACTGAACGCATGCTCGGATCGCGCCTCCATAAGCATTAATTGGCTGTTCAACGGGGCGGCGAATTGTCACAAGTGCCTGTCCGCAACTTCTAACGGGTCGCGAGTTTGACTTCGCGGACAGAGTGACAATGGTACCTGCCGGCCGAAAATTAATTGAAGCTTGGGTCTCGGGTGAGAACTCAGTCAGTCGATGTGTATCAGCCTGGCGTCGGCAGACAAAGTCCTGCAGAGTCAACTACATACCTCCGTCACTGATCGATGATTGAGAAACACCCCCTATAACTGTCGCTACTTCAGTTACTGCTTCTATCTCTGACGATAGACTCCTGCACGAGTTCGAAAACCCAGTCCCCTCCATTACGCGTGCATATACCCGGAGTTTGGACATTCCTCTCCATTCGTGAATAATAACTATCTATTAATAATAAGTAAACATATTTGCAAGAATAAATAATTCAAAGTCGGGGCACCTTCATGAGAGCGAAGATCGCCTGTTGGCCAAGACCAATGCTTGAAAAGATATCCGCCAGCTCCGGAAGAAGAGGGTGTCCGTCAGGGAGTTCGCTGACAACGTTCTCTAAATCGGTATAATCCTCTAGGAGGTTAAGACAGCGCACCAACTTTTTGTACTCTCCACCTTGTTTGTATAGATCTGCAGCCTGGGCCCTGTGTAGGAAACAGTGGAGACAGAAGGGAAAGGTTTTTTTTTGTCTTCTGTAAATCCCCGAATAAATTTGCTATGAACAACCCTCAGTGAAGACCACTGAAGTCCATAATGCATATACAACTTTGAATTTGTCTTCAATTTGCTTCCTTTGATAATGGCACCGTAATTAAATTAGAACGTCGCATGCCGGCAGGAACACTGAAAGCAGAAAGTGCTCACAGTGGTCAGGTCTCTGGAAGTAGAATTCCCGACAAAAAGGATACCCAGTGACCGCGTAAAACGTGAATGCTCCGATGCTGATACTCGACTGGTCGTGCAGCATCTAATGGACAACCCTGTTGGAGGGTGCTCACCGATCGCGTTACGGAACTCACTCTTCCCGTTGTGCCTTAGAGCTCTCTCTCTCGAGCCCGGCCAACAGCCGCACAGCGGCAAAACAATATTTTCTTGTCTTCGTCGGTAATGTTATTCTACCAATGGACAACCCTGCAAATCCCCAACTAGTACTTGCACCCTTGTCTTCTCAAGGACGTCTTGAAAGTCCATGGTGATCAGATTTGAATTTCGACGAAGCAAGTACGGTTCTTCGGATGCTAAAAGTCCGTCCGAATTAAACACCAGATACTTTTCTAACTCCCCTTATAAAGTCCTCTTAGTGTCCTAATTGGCCTAAAAAAAACGTTTCCAGGCTGCAATAAATTTCTGGGATAAAGATCATCTCTCCTGAAAATCGTGATTTCTCTCTTCCTCTGATATATTTGGTGGAAATAATGCGACGGGTGTGGAGCTTCTACAAGGAGCAGATAACCGTCCACACGACTAACTACCTCCTGGGGACGAAAAGAGACTCAGGACTAGCCGGATTAACGATAACACTAGAGCTGCAATATCTGTCCGTACATCTCTCTGAATGTTCGCTTCTGTTACGCCCTATTTCTGTCATGTTCTCATGTTTTAGTGTGACAACAATCCGTCCGTTTGACTCCAAAATGTAATAAGAAAATTTTAAAAAAACCATTCAATGTGAGAAAAATAGTTGAGCTGCAACATTTATTGTGAACTTAGGTTAACTTAAACCCCAGTTAAAACTTCAAAGATAGTGTCCCTCGATAAAAAATTCTCTCAGCAAAGCTTTTTTTCATAGGTTGAGTCTGTAAAAATCCTCCTCTGTTTGACTACAGCAGGAAGTTCGTTCGGCCCCCGGAAACAAATTGCCTACCAGTCTTGTTTGCTGAAGTAGTGATCACCAATCGCAATCCAGACCTCGGAGAGCTCTTTGTCACGAACTACCACGCCGGACTCCTTTGCCAACTGGGCCACTCTAAACCAATCCCCGAGACGGCGTCGAAGGTCAACCGCGAGGTCGCACCGATCTGAGCTGAGAAAGAGTTTTTCAGCACCCTGATAGTCCCCGAAGTACGCCTTAACCTCAGCCTAAAATAAATTTCTACTGAAAATCAATAGGTAGAAAAAATCAACTGTGATAATAAAATAACTACCGTTTTCGTTATTGTTGTTATCGGATTGAAATGACAACGGCTTTCATCACATCAACAGCCTTTTCTCTTAAGATGCCGCTTTGCAATGTCCTTATTCAAATTCATTCCAGGAAAACAATGCTTCGATTATAAACGTAGTTCTTATTTGGAAGTTTAGTTATTGCGAGTTAAACAGACCTCAGCTGACAGTTCCTGTTTATTCAAATCTGGATGAATCGGTGTCCTCAATAACTTTCAAAGCCTTCTAATTCTCTGATAAGTCCCGGTGATAGGAGGAAAGATTATGTTTTTAATACATTCAACTCAGGTCGTGGCAAACGACAATGTTCATTACTGCCCTATACGAGCAGCGGCGAACAGCGCGTGATTTACAGCAAGGACAATTCGCGCAGAATTCATATTCTAACGCAAAACATGGTATCAGCGACAGTGGATAAGCTTAGTGAAAGTCGTTGACCGGACAGTTGTCCCGTCTGAACGCGCCAGACGGCTTCTGTTTCCTCAACCCACGTAAACCATACTTCATTAACCCCAGACCCCACAACAGTGAGAGCAGAAGAAAAGCCAATGCAAGTCGGACCCCCAATCTGGAGAAGGTCCGAGGTATCTCGTCAGATGCGAGCCAAAAAAGCCACCGTGTCTAGCTTGTCCTGATAGCCAAGAACAGCTCGAATTTTCTGTAGCAAAAAGTATGAACAGAATCCCCTTCCCATGTCTTCCAGTGGCGGGCTGAAATTAGGTCGCTGAAGATGAGCTTGGTCGAAATGACTGGCGTGATAGAAAGCCTAAGCGATGAGCGAAGTCGCACAGAGAAAAATAAAATTCTTGCAATTCTATATCTTACCTTTCTGACGTTCTCTGACTGCATGTTACGGAGGCTCTTCACAAACTCGATCCCTTGGTAATTTTGACAGTGTACAAAAGCTACTTCTGCTGTGTCCAGACTTAGTTGGTTTAGGGCCGCCTCCGCTATTAGAGACCTTCGGATGTAACAGAAAGAAAAAACGTTTTAAAAAGATCCTGCCCGCCGATGAGGGACGATTTACCGAAGCAAACGGCCGTCTCTCAATCAGCCTTCAAAAATGCGCCATATTCGACAGTTCGGCCGTCGATTTCGACGATTTCCACCGCGTTCTCTATAGCAGGGTGAGAGCACGGACGGTGACTCGCGTGTGATAATGACAGAAGACTTGCGTAGCATCTATCGCACCGTCTCCTCCCATACCGGGGTCCGGTGTAGGGACATAGTCAAGAATATCAGAGACGAGAGACCGCAGGTAGCTGGTATGGCTGTCAAAGGTCACTAGGGTCCTGGGTGCCTGACTTGACAGGGCACCAAACTTCTTAGAAAACCCACGTGGAAAACCTTTTGCAGAACAGAATCTTCCAAACATAACCGAGGCGCATCCCGAAATACAACCTCGACGGCAGCAATATGCGCAGCCTAACGCCTAGCAATGTAATGAACAAACAGTGTAAACTGACTTAAGAACTGGAGGATGGGAAAGGGAAAAATTTCTGTCGCGCCGATAAAACTCGCTCCTTCCTCATTCAGCAGTATCCACTTAATTGGGCAAAGTGGTTGATCGGGCATTTCACCTTGGTTTTTGGCTTGTAACACATGATTTGGTCATTCGAATGACGAGATTCCGGCTTCAGCTAAAAACTCGTCAGTGTGTAGCAGCCAATATGACTCCTTTGTCTGCGTCGAAGAAATTAAAAAAGCAAAAGGGGAGGCGGGAAGTGAGGAAAAGAGCTGAGTGTCTTGTTTTTGTGTCTTACAGTGAAGAACAACGATCCGTCTTCCACTCAGACTCCGGAACCGATGGATATTTTACAACCAGTTATCGTTATATAATGCATTATTACTGTCACGTACACTTCTTCTCCGACATATATAGATACTTTTTCAGTTATTGCGGGTAATTGACTGCTAGGCGACCGAATAAGACCACGTCGTTCTTTAAGGTGCGCAGGTGCCCTTAATTCTGACGGGGGTAGGACATTAAGAGTGTTGGTTCAATGCTGTCCAGCTTAGCGTGCCTGTCGCATCACCTTGACATCTTGGGTGTGACGCAATCCAAGGCCTAATCTTTAAGAATTTATAGCAGGTCATTTTGCCTGTTGATTAAGCGAAAGCGTTTTCTTGTTTTTGACAGATTCCAAAGCATGTCAGTAAATTCTTCAAGATGTCCCTGTAACACTGCTTAAGGTCAAATTAGCGTTACCTAATGCAACGTCTCCATGGAGGAGCGGCTTTGTTGGGTGCCCACTATTCATCCTCGCGACGTGATCGTTTCATTGGAGTTAAATTCCCTTAATCAACTTAAAGATTCTTAACGTGCCAGTAGATTCCATGACCTGAGTATTGGGACTCTATTCTAGCCAATGTTTATCCTGTATTCACGAAGGGCAGACTAAATAGGTGTGATTTGATTTCTTTGTGCATTTTGGTAGATTCCCCAAGCCTCAGCGAAATAATAAATAACTTTCTAGACTACCGTACTGTATATCCTCCGTCCGACGTTGAGGAGAATATCTGGTCATTCAGTGCGGAAGATGAAGACCTGTTAAATGCCTGGTTGGTTTTAGAGATCTGATATGCTGCTTCAGATGCTTCTTCCAAAACAGGATATTCAGTACGCATCGGTGACGCAACTGTTGACCATGATAAAACATAACAGCTAATTTCTCTGTACTCACGGTTAGACTGCAGTTGACGCCCCCGGAAGCGACAAGGTCCGGGTTCCGCTGTAAACCCTTTCCATTTATAGTTTTTGGCACACGATCATTGGCAAAAGCAGACATTTTATCCTAGTCATTGGGGTTTTCGCAGTGGCATACTTATGACGAATTTCAAGTAACCTCCAGTTGGTTTTATATTTGCTACCAGCCCCTGGACATCCCTCACAAGAGGTACACACAAACACTTGCGGAGACTATGAGAAGAAGGAGAGGTAGGGGAAATGGGATTGGTCTGTTGTCCATAAAATGGACCACCATATAGTCATGGTATTATTCGACAATCAGTGCGAGCCTTGCGGTGCACCCTTATTTCATCGTGATCTTCCACAGACCATATCGATTCTCGGTGTCGAATGTCGTGCTAAAACTGTGTTTTCAACATTTTAATCGCCAGAATATGCCGTTTCTTTAAACCAGGGACGACGGAGACTGGGACGATAATTTTTTGCCTCTTAGCTATCGTCAGCCACCCACACCTAATCGCAGGTTTTCAGGGTCTGAGCCCCAAATGCACCTTCTTTTGTCATCGAGCGTTATCAAGTCCGATGGTCTACCATCTTACCCGAGTCAGACATCATTAAGGAATAATCATGCATTTTCTGTTTTCCGCCAGTTTACGCGCTCCAACTTCACATCTTTCAAACGACCTGACTGTTTCAGTACGCTGTTAGAGTAATAAAACAAGCATATGGTAAACTACAAGCCTTCTCAATACCTTCCGCAGATCCCGTTAACTACCGCGTTCATCTGCCGTACTGATAAAATCAATACGAACATCCTTTCCCTATAACAGGAGTCCCGGTCAGTCAGTTTCTCAGTGGGTCTTCATAATCAGTCCCCACTTATCGTTTCTGGTGAAGAAGGTGAATCCGGCATCTCGTCAGTCATCCACATGGCAGTCGCTCCCATATGAAGGCATGACCTGTTTGTCCTTCCTTCTGGTGTCTTTGTTTCGAAAGTTTAATTGCTCTGAGAACGGAGATTTCTGGAGACCATGGATGACCAAAAGTGTCTTTCTTGCGAGAATTTCAGTGCCGCGTTACGCCTGTTTTACTTCCCCTGGACATCTGCCCTCCGCAAACATACGGACTGCTCTGACATCATTACCTTTACAGCCAGACCGCTGGACGGAACCCTTAACGATTGATGATAGCCGTCTAAGTGGCTTACTGTACTTCCCCAAAAGGACCTAAGATGGTACGTGGAGTTCGTTCTGATTCGGTGAATGGACATGAGACGGTTGTCGAAAAAGTCTCTCTCCTCTCCAAAAAATCGTAAATGTCCTAATTTATATTCATTCACTTGTCAAGAAGACTTTTATGAACATGACGTTTTTTGTGGAACTCACCATAAACGTGGATGGGGATTCTCTTCAACAAAGGCCTTAGCCTTCTCAAGCGTGTTGTTTTCGAGTAATATTCGACAGTCGTTAAGGGCCTGAAACACATACTTACATTTAGGAATTGATGAAACCTCTGGTTTTCTTAAAATCACCTTTGTGTTAGCAGGTTGCTTACCGCGGTTAACAGCGACATCAAATAAAATTTTCAAGTTCGGCTAAATTTTTTTGTTGAAACTCTCGCGGGCAAATTGCTAACCCTTCGATGAAAAAGTCGCACAGATGCATAACCGCAGTCTACGACATGTATTAGCATTGAAAATTGCACAAATATATTCCAACGTCCATTTACGCTAAAATTCACTGATATTTTAATTGATATAATTACGTAAACACAATTTCTGTACAAGAAAAGGACATTTCATTGAAGGATGCGGATGTGCGAACAAAATGCGCAACGTTAAAGACGTCCAGAAATTCTGGCATCAGTTCACGTTATCAGATTTCATGAGATAGGTCACGTACTCTAGATGTCCAAACAATCAATCAATTTGGATTAAATGACTGAAATCCTTGAAATCTGCATCTAAATGGTAAAAGTCTGAAAAAAAGTAATTAAGTTAAAAATATTTTACAGGTAATTTCTAGTATGCTAACTGCATAAGACAGGGAATAGAACAGGCGCGTTAAATGGGTGAAGAATTTGCAAAATAAAAGCGAACAGTACCTCCACGGCACTTGCATTCAATAAGTCAAAGTTCGTGTTAAGAAAATGAGTTACTGAGAAACGTGAGTAGCATGTTTATTAGTTATTACAATGTCTCATTAGATACGGTTAGCAGGAGCCCTGACCGACCTTTAGCAGACGAAATGGACTAATGACGTTAAATCGATACGACTGGCGAAGTTCATCCTCGTCGCCTCTGGTCGCAACATGATTCACATTGATGTGTCTTTAGACTGTCATCATGTTGGTCTGGTTTCCTGGTACACTGATACAGAGGACCTACCAGTCATAAAGAGCTATGATTCAGGTGGTAAATTGACGAGAAAAGCCCCTCTGCCTCAATTGGGAGATGAGGAAGTTTAGAGTTCTCATTGTTTAACATTTGGCTACGCGAACAAATGTTATTAAGAGCCCTCTTTCGAATTAGAATTGTGTGCACGCTTCATAATTATTGACAGATCTCCTTAAAGCAATGTATCGTATAGGTTCTGGCAGTTATAATGCAAAAGGGCATAACTTTACGAACGATGGTTCGGTGATATGTGAATTTCAGTCAGACATTTCGGAATTCAAGAAGGGTAAAAATACTCTCATAGTTGGCATTGGAGGAGGGAAAGAAACAGTATTTTTTTATTAAATCCCAACTTTCATCAAATGTGCTTCGAAGCTATTTTCGTCCGGCAGTTCGACTCTATGTATTCCATATGGGTCGAATAAGGGCATCCGTTTAGACCAGAAGCTTAGTCCCTTTAGGTTGGAGGAACAGCACAATCATTTTGTCCGCTCAAATTGACAAGGTTGAGAGATCCGGCTTGACCTTTTGAAGAAAAAGATGGGCTCACCGTAACAGGTTTATTTAGGTGCTGACGTTTTGAAGAGCTTGGTCGGCTCCTCAGTGTCTAAGCGTAAAGTGCACTTAATCGAAACTTCAACACCTAAATAAACCTGTTCCTGTGAGCCCATCTTCTCCTTAAAGCTGTCTGTCGTTGTGAAGACGTGGAGGAATATTGGCATAAAACTGTCCTGGACTTGTTCTGTCTGAATTCAGCCGACCATGGCCTGGACCACCATCCTGAGTCCGTGAGCGGGTCTGCGGCTAGTATTGTACATCCTGATATCAAAAAAACATGATTATGAACTGTTTTCAAATGAGTAAGCTCCTTTTTTGTAAATGCTTGCCTTCAAGAGTCACGACACCGCTGTCTCTCAATTAAAATGGGTACAAACACTCGATAATAAAATTGCCCTGAAATCTTTTGGACTTGTGAATATTAAACCCTGTGCTCAACTCCATTTGCAGACAACAGGACAGGGAAAAATTCCATCAAATAGTCGTGAGATTTTATGTAGGTAGGCATGGGGTAACTCACCTTTACAGGTATGTTCGAGATTGAATTCAATTTCGGCTGATCGGCCTGTTGAATGAGGTCGTCTAGCAGTACCCCGAGTACCTCAAGATCACGGAAACCGGCAATGTATGCCGACGTCTGTATAGCCGGTTCAGCCTCCACACCGTGGAAAATGAACATTTTTGTCTTCTCCATTGCGACAAACATTTTTGCGTCGTCCTTCAAAGACGAAATAAGTAAATATTCAGCAGACCTTCTAATGCATTGTAAAACAACGTTTTCTTCCATTTTCGCAACTCTTTTTCACTCCGTCGATGAATTTAATCCTTTAGTACAACTTTCAATGCATACTGCAACTACTGCCCTTACCTCAGAAAATTTCAGATCCCATACATCCTTGCGAAGAAAGTTGTCAAACAAGACCTGATCCTTCTGAGAGGTCGCATTCTCCTCCTGACCATCAGGCACCTCGTGTAGAGTGAGTATACCGTGTTCATCAATCAGTCCTAGGATGCTTTCAGAAGGTTAAGGGAGTCAGTTGAAGAATAGAAACGGGCTTTCAATTGGCACAAACAAAACAATTTATCAGCCCTCCTTTTGCTTAAAACTATTAAATTCAATATTGGCGTTTTTAGGTGTTAACAGGTTGGGTGCTTCCTTTGGGGTAGGGTAGACGCATCCAGACTGCGCATTACAGCTAAAAAATACTGCCCTGTCTCATAATGCAAAGTACTGGGCGTGCCTCTCACTCTCCTATCGAGCAATTTGATGTAGAGCACATAATAACTCGCAGATGAGAACAGAAAAGTCAGAATAGACATTGGTGTTTTAACTGTCCGATCTAACAAGCCTTTGCAGATCCGAAATTTTTAATTTTTGCCCATACAGGTTTGACGAGTTTATAAGAACTACTATTTTCATTTTAGTAACATGTAATGTGTAATTTGTGTAATGGGAGGCATAGAAAGGCAAAGTTGCACTCGTGAAGATTCAAGTTGTGGGAACCAACCGGTCTACAGGAGAAGAAGGGCGAGGTAAATTTATCATACTAAAATGCTGCAGTGTATAGAGGCTGCGTAAGTATACCATAAGCCAGGCGGACGCAGCATTGCAATAAGGGTCGCCTCGTCGACCGCCATGAACGAATAACCGTCTAGTAATTATCGTCGGACCAGTAAATTTATATCGGAACGGAGTACAAGTAAAACATGTTAGCGATAAGGAAAATCCATTACAGTTCGTCTTTTCATGCGTGTAAGGTGTGAGAGTAGGAAGAGGTACCAAGAGAGTGAGTCAGGAGACAGTGAGGGCTAGAGAGAGGGGGGAAGGGAGCGGATGAGTGCATCATGGCCGTGTCTGGCGTCCCGTTGCGTCAAGATCATTCAACTTCACAGCAAACGATCCCAGACGCGCTGACTTGCAGCCACTCGACCATTTTTCGACTTGGACACACGTGCGCCTACACAATCGCAGTTCCTCATGCGCCACCTGAACAGACCACCCCGTCCCTTACTCCCCTCCCCCTCCTCTGCCATTTGAACGCCACTTCTCGACAAACTTAACACCCACCAGCTGAACACTACTTCAATTTGCCCAACAAACCTACGAAAGCAGTTGCTATCACAGTCCCACGAATTATCAGGCATGACTGGACGCATTCAACACCAGCCCTAGCTTCGCCGGCGGCCACTTTAGCCTGAGGGGACAACGCAAAGCTCTGTATTCAGTACAAACACACCTATGTTGCGCAGCACACACCATGTCCAAACATATCCGGCCTGTAGTGCGCATATCGGCTATCAGTCCACCAGACTACCAGTTCGATCGGTTGGTAATGCTCACCGAACAGTCATCCAGTCGAGAATATCGCTCAGCGTCGCCAAGAAGTCAGCCGCGAGGACTGTGGTTTTTTTGAGGGTGTTAGAAAAGTAGTTTAAAGCCAGTGACCGATCTCATGAAAAGTTTGCCGAAATTCTGAAATGCGTTTTCGACCAGGAAGGAGTACTTACGTGGGGTTGTAAGATTGACTAGTGTACATCATGATATTTCGGACTCGCCAGGATGTTAACTTCTAAATGCGCTTATTTTCAATCGCCTCTAGAAGCCCCACGCGATAAAAAATAATCACCTAAATGGTAAGGATTTTTCCAATTGTTTATCGATGCTCTTATACATTTAAATACATTTCATAGGGAAAATACACAAAAATATTCTTTCTCATACACATCTGGTAGACAATCACGTTTTCTCCTAATTGTGTACTCAAAGGAGGGGCATATTTGGGTTCAAAATAAGTCTTTTAATTTTCCAATAATTTTGAGTATAATTTGCCATTGTATCTGTGTCCATAAGGTGTATACCTTCTGCGTAAAGAAATCATAATCCTTCTATGCCTTTAAGAAGATACTATATAGTGCTCATAAAATTTTGTAATGGACACGGACCGTGTTGTCTTATTCATGAGGGACATTGTTAGACGGACGGATGCTATGCGATTTGAATGAACATCGCACGCTCTTAAAAAAAACATCATAATTGAGAATCTATTAAAAATTGAAAAAACACTTTCTTCGAATATTGAACTTCAAGACTACGTGATTTGTTACTAAATGTGTATAAGAAGGGATATTTTGTGTATTTTCCCTATGAAATGTATCTAAATTTATAACAATTCAAATGTAAACAATCGGTAAAATCCTTACCATTTATGTAATTATTTTTATCGCGTGGGTCTTTTAGAGGCGATCAAAAAGTAAGTGCATTCAAAAGTTAACATCCTGGCGAGTCCGAAATACCATGGGATTATGGTAGACAGTAGTCAATCTTACAACCCCACGTAGGTACTCCCTCCTGGTCGAAAACGCATTTCAGAATTTCGGCAAACCTTTCATGAGATCGCTCGTTGACTGTTATGTTCACACCCAGTCTTTAACTTGACAAGCGTAGCTCATTTTTGGCGGGCGGTGCTAGGTGCGTGAATGAGCAGTTGAAGGGCATAATTCAGAGAGAGGGAGGGCCAGAAGGTTAACTTGACTTACGATGCGTCGGCGTTCACCTCGATGCGGTTTGGACGCTTCTCTGTCGCCTGGAAGGCCAGATCGAACCAGAGGTCAGGAAGACGGTAACGCACCACTTCGCCACTGCAACGAGCAACGAAGAGGTGTCGGCTGCCGCTGGTAGCAACGGCTGCAATGGGGTCCTTTGTGGAAGGTGCAGCCAAAAGACCCAAATCCGGAGTCTGTGGCTTGTCTACATCTAGGATACCCATTTTAGAGAGGTTGCTGGCGCTCTCCCTTTGGTCGATGTGCGCCATTCTGTTCAAGTGGGGGGGGGGGGAGATAAAATCACCTTAACATCACTCCTGGATGACAAGAAAACAACTCGGAAAGTCGACTTCTTCCCTTGGCTTTAATAAAAGAAATGTTATGTGTCTTAAACCCACCTGGGGTCGCAGTAGGAAAGCGGAACTCAACAGCTGCAATCTAATGCCTTTCCGCGAGAAGCACTTAGCTGTCTCATCATCGAAGAACTGCCGGAGAATTTCATGCATCATTTTATCGTAAAAAGACACATTCAGAAGTATTCCTACATTTTGAGAGTAACCATCATGCCTTTTACAAACGGGGTACCGTTTACAGCCTGCTTAATCGAGTCCAAACGCATTCGATTGATAGAGAAAGCTAACAAACAGGACTGAAATACCTTTCCAATTTGTTTTCTCAAAATAATTGGCTCTGATTTTGTGCATCAGCGCATAAAACATCAAGAGCTCGAAGAGAAAAGTATCTTGAAAGTAACGGTCACCCAGGCACATAAATAATCATCCGGAGATTTCTCACATATGTAAAAAATTATCTGAGACATCTGAAAAAAACATCATAAAAATTGGGACACTAGGCCGCAACTGTCTCACACATACAACTTGGACAGTCTACTCCTTGAAAAGACGTTGTCTACGAAGTCTCATGTCCTATTTGGGAGGCCTTATATTGTGGTCAAACTGGGGAATTCGTCTCCACTTGTATACTCGAACATCAGTTAGCGGTAAGGAGACGAGATCATCTATCCCAGGTGGCCGTGCACACAATGGACACTGAAAACAGATTTGCCCGTAAGGACGCTTGCATTGTTGACAAATTCCCAATGAGGCAGTGACATCCTCGAGGCAGTGCACTCAGGTAAAGTATGGATCAATGGGTATGCAAATTTCTCAATGACAAATGGCAATAAGCGAAGCCAATGTCGACAGGACGAGGAGCTGTAACTGGCTCCCATTGGGGCAAGCTTAAGCTAAACACAGAATCGTCTGTTAGGCACGATTACATAGCCATCTGCTTTTGCACATGACCCATACAGTAGGTGGGCTAACTCATGAAATGCCGACCGAAATTCCGAAATGCGTTTTCGTTTCGAAAAGATTAATTAGGTAGGGTTGTAAGACTAATCAGTCGACAGTATAATTCTATAACGATTCCGTTACCCAGGGATGGTGGCTTTAGAAAGAACTTCCGTCCGACTGCATACAAAAACTATACTCTGTAAAAAATGACTACTAAAGTAGCATGCATTTTCTCATTGATTGTCGATGCCCCTAAATGTCCAATTATATTTCATGGAAAACATGCATAAAAATATTCATTCTTTCGCTCATTCGGTAGAAAATTACGTCTACCTCTGATGTTATACTCGAAGGGTGGACATAATCCGGTTTTAAAAGTTCCTAATTAGGGGATTTTTAAATACCATGAAATGCCCGTTCATAAATCGTCATGTCTCTTCATTTACCAATGTGGCTTAGAAAGTTAACAATAAAGATCAAATTCACTGCCAAATTTTATAAACCATATATGGTCCCCCTTTATTACCGTAGAGAAATGTGTGGTTTTCCGTACGCGGAAAGTACATGGCTTGTAGTTTGGAAACCCTGAATGCAAGTGTGACGGCAGAGCGGGTTCAAAAGTACTCGGAAATTAGAAAAGTTTTTGAAAACCGAATGATACCCTTCCATAGAGTACACAATTGGAAGAAGACGTACTTTTCTACCGGCTGAGCGGAAGATTGAATATTTTTATTTATTTTTGTCATGAAACACCGTTGGGCTTCTAGGGGCATCCAAAATCAATGAGAAAAATGTATGCTACTTAAGTATTCCTTTTTTACAGAGTATATTTTTGTATGCATCCAGAAGGAAGTTCGTTCGAAAGCCAGCATTCTGGGGTAACTGATTTATTATAGAATTATACTGCAGACTGATTAGTTTTACAACCCCATTTAATTAATCTTTTTGAAACTAAAGCGCATTTCGGAATTTCGGTTGACATTTCATGAGTTAGTATGGCCGATGGCAAGCTAGAGAAGCAGCCTCGAAAGGTTACGCAATAAGAGCTATTTCATTCAAAAGAGTATCACCTCTTCCTACATGAGTTTCTTGGAATGCCCGTTTTTCATGTCGATAAACTTCGATGGCGTGCTTTAGTAAAAGTGCGAGTCTCGCGTGATTGCATACCCTTCTCCAGAAATTACGATATATTCACCCAGATACTGGTCGGAAATCCGGCCAGAATGAACACAAAATAGACGTTGCCTCGAACTCCTCACCTCCTTTCTCGTCTGGTGGTAGATGGTCACCCATTTCCAACGCCCCCCACCCCAAAAGGGGTTTTGTTTGATCTGAACGACTTAACAGAAGGCGTCCTGCCCATTCATTTGGAAATGTGGGTCAGACACGTAAATAGGGACCCCCCCGTACGACATATGGTCTTGCGGTCAGTTCCAGGAGGCACCTCATTTTGTGTCCCAACTTTAACTCTTACCCTCTGAAGAGCAATTTTAGTACCATTGCATCCGAATGGGTGCCAGCAGAAAGCGGCCTTCCACAGGGTTCGGTCTTGCGTCCTCTCCTCTTCCTCATCTATATAAACGACTGAACTTGAGATCTTGAATGCGATGCCACCATGTTTGTCGATGATACAAAGATCTGGAAAACAACTAGCTGTGTTGAAGATGAGCAGAAACCACAGGAAGATGTTGATAAGTTGGCTGCATGGTCCAGCAAATGGCTTCTAGCGTTTAATGTACCCAACTGGGTAGCCTTGCGCCTAGAATATGGTCGGGAGTGCTTCTCAAAACACGAGTACAACATAAATGGGGTTCCACTAAAAGAAGTGGGCACGAACAAAGACCTAGGTGGCTGGACAAGTTCAAACTTGCTGCCCTCCGAGCACTGCAAAAGAGCCATCCAATATTCAACTAGCATCATGCACTGGATTAGGCCTGCCTTCGTTGTCTTCCCTCCCGAACTCTTTTTGACGATATTCAGTACGTTCGTCAGATCGCATTTAGAATATGGAATGCCAACCTGAATGCCCTGGATGAAGAAGGACAGTGATGCCATAAAGCAGATGCACGACGGATGACAAAATTAGTGGACAGCCTCAGAATTCTGTAATATACAGCTTAATTTATTCCCCCTATCCTATAGACAAATTAGATGTGACCTGTTATGGACACTCCGCATTATCTGCGAGCATGACTGCTTACTCAAATCTGAAGATTTCGTTGACTTCACGATCATGAGTCACCTGAGCGGTCATCCGTACGAGGTCAAAAGGGAGCGTACACGCCTAGACCATCGGTAGCTTTCCTTTAGTCAGCGTGTGGCACGACCCTGAAACTCACTCCCAAGTGAAATAGCGACAGGTGACACAATGGTTATATTCAAATGGTAGTTGGATTGTGTGATCTTTGATAAACGACGACACCGCAGGACTATCTGCAGCCAGCCATGTACTTTAGTTCCTAATTTCACTTCCTATGTAAGGCATCCCTGCACTTTTGATGCAATTTCCTTCCGAAAACCACACCAATGATTACATTTTGTGCCAATTCTATACAATTGCGCTTATAATCTCAAATGTACATGGAAAGGACCGTCTGTCGTAACCATCGCAGTTCCGCACAGTATATATGGTTTTCGATAACGAATATATTACTGGCAACATTTAAGTAACATGTGTGTATAAAATTAACGTTATATGTACTGTTGTCAATAGGGCCATCGAGGACATGGCCTATTACCCTAGCAACACTATACTATACTTCCTAGCTCTGACCCGAACTTTAACTTTAATCCCATGCTTAAGCCCCCCGCCATAGTGAAAACCCTAATTCTGGCCCACCTAACCTTGACACGATGACGAATAAGCCTGGGTTTAAAGCACAGGCTGCCCTGGCCTGAGGAGTGTGACTAATTGGTAACGGCAAATATGCCGGGAATAACCATTCAAATCAGCCTTGTATTTAAGTAGCATGTGTGGCGACACGCCTAGACGTGGGCGCGCCAGCCACCTGCGCCATCTACCCTATTTGGTCTGTGTGAAACCTCCCTAATCAATAACTAGATGAGTGGTCACGGTGTGTGTACTTCGAATAGGCACGTAGGCTCACGCATTGTCAGGCTAACGAATCCCATTAACGCGAGTCATCGTAAAACTGCAGACAGAGAGCGGACACCGGCAAGCGCCAAACGCGTCAGGTCTCCTCTAATTACTTTTATCGCATACAAACCCCACAGGAGCAGTTTGGACCAACGATATCACTGTCAGCGGTAAAACAGCTATGGAGCGCAACGTTCGACTTACCGCTCCAGACCTTCTCGTTGTTTATTGCGAACGTGAATGGCGGCACCCATGCCAAAGAGGGTTTTGGGGTTTTTGAATTGCCACAGGTGGATCAGTGAGCTATCCGCGATGATGACGTAGCCGCCGGCCATGGCAAGGCACTTCGGCTCCACCTTTACTGTCTTGCTGTCCATAATGGAGCCCAGGCTGTTGTAGATGGCAATCCTGAACTAAAATGAAAATGGCAAGAACGCAAGGCTAGGAAAATTCGAACCTACGAGGGGAGTAAGTTTTCCGCGGGAGTAGACTTCAACTGTTTATCCCGATTTCAGGACAGACTACAGATCGATTCTATCAGGCCTCGGAATTTTTGGATCTGGGGTCCCTGCAAACTCTCGCATAACGAAGCGTAAGTACTAGTCAGGGAGAGTTACCGAGCAAGACAGGGGGACTGGAAATGCGTTCACCAACAGGGTTGTCGGACATGCCTATTCCGTTGGGGTTTAGGGTTCAATGTCGGAACTCCTTCCACAGTTTTGTATATTTTAGGGTAATGGGCGTTCCCTCTGAAAACCCCATTGGAAACGGTAGAGAGAAGTATTCAAATCAAAATGGCGATTCTACTATGACGTTTTCAGCAATATCTTCTGTGTACTAAAACTATTGTGACGATGGACACAGGGATACCGGTGCCTTTAACCTCCAACCTATAAACCGGCAACGTCTGAAAATTGAATATCACCGGTAGCCGCGGTTCGGCCGCCTGTGAGGCTTTTAGACAGTGATCCCAAGGCAAAACTAACCTCCACCTCCCCTCCCGCATGTAGATGAAGTCGCTGGATTGTACAGTCGTGGGATTTCGTCTATTCCAGATAGAAACCATCATAGCGTGAGGAAGAAGCTCCACTTGTAGGTCATCCATTCCAACGATCAAGCGGACCCCGATCCGAACGTCAGGTCTTCAAGGTCAGTGACTTACTATGGTAACGGGTAAGGAATATTCGTTCTGGTCTACCTTGTATATTTTGACTATACTTCCCTTGGTATGGACGGCAATTGGACTTAAAGCATTGACGGAAGAATTTCCCATCGTCATGCATAGTTCTCATTCAGCCCAACTCACAGTTTTCCAAGTTTTTCCAAGCTAACTGTCGGCGATTGGTCGTACATGAGTTTCTGGGCTGTCACTTCATAAGCGAATGTGCTCCCAAGTGTTTGCGCAAACCAAACAAGCAAGATAAACGGATGGAGGCGAATGTTTGAGTTCCAGATGTGCACAGGAATGAAGAATAAAACTGATCGAGCACCAAGTCCTTGAATTTTTGTTAGAAATATCGAAGAAGCGCCTTGGATACGATATTCCGCTTCTGTTGCAGGTGAAGATGGTTTAGTTAGGGAGATTTCATTGACTAGACGACCATTTGAGACCCTGCCGTTTATCGCAGACGCATCCTCAAACACCTCTATTAGATGCCCATGCCTAAAATGTGAATACTGGACGTCCGTTCTACTGCGTTATGTCCCCTTACAGCTGATAAACAAAAAATATTCCAAAATATTTACTTATGTATGCTATTATCTTTTGGAACGTCACACAAGCGCAAATTGTTCATCCACTGAGCCGGTTGTCGCGATGGATGGTAACTCATCATGTTGCTAGCGCTACACCCGCCTCCCGACTTGACACCGATTGACTGATAAATAACACCCAGTTAAACATGACAGTTAAACAGGCAGTTACGGGGTGACCTGATACAAGCCTTCCGTATCATACGAGGTCAGGACTGTACCCTCGTACGGGGGGACTTCTTCGAGTTAGCAACCACCACAAATCAACGAGTCCACCCATTCAAACTACGTGTGACAGGGGCCAGACTGGACACACGAAAGTTCTTCTTCTCCAACAGAGTGCTGGAAGCCTGTAATGCCCTGCCTGTGGATATCGTTATGCCTGCTTCAGTCGAGGTCTTTAAGAGGAAGCTGGATTTGTGTAGCAGTGTCCACTAAATTACCACCCCGATCTTTGTAACCTCGAAAAATTCCGGTATTATAATGCTACTTGCTATATTTCAGTAACATTTTAAATTGAATTTATTATTGTGCCAACTCATCGCCTACGCTTACTGACATGCACATATGCAAATTTTGTCACCGGATATATTATTTATTTCGCTGCACTCGAAACGACAGCTCTACAACTGCTCATAACATTAAAATTCGAGACAGTTTGTTTGTCTGTACAGACCTGACGCTTTTCCGATTATTTGTTCCTTTATGATACCTTTTCGAGTTTTTGAGATTTCGCAGTTGTTTGTAAACAAATAGGGAGTTCAAAGGTGAGGACCTACATTTCCCTCATTAAACTGAACTGAACTGACGCCAACACACTCTGGCGTAAGCCGTCTGCATGTTCAGATGCAACATCAAATTATTGGCCTTGACATCAGTTGGGAGCAGTTCATCTGCCGTCATTCTTTTGTAGTAATTAACTTTATCGTGCGCCTTCTCTTGAAATGCAATTCAAACATCGAAGAGTACTGAGGGGATAGGCCACCGGCCCAATCGAGACCAGCTGGGTCTTCCGGTGGTGGGGACTTTGACAGGACGAATGTCTGTCAAGTCACGAAACTGTCATCTCAGTGTCTGCAGCGCTTGCCGCTTGGGACAAAAGGAATATTTATTTATTGGTATAACTAGGGCTGCAGTGCAGGAGATCTCTGATGGAGCCTCCAGGATTAAAACGGAATGGGTCCTCACCCTGAGGTTACACTGAGACCAGTGTTCCCGAATCGTGTAAGCCCTTCACTCCTCACTTACAGAATTTCACGATTTTCTCCACCCACATAGTTGAGCATGATCCTGAATTTGATCAGAGATTAATTGATTATTACTCGCTACAAGCCCATGGCCTAACTGCGTCCTGTTTAAGATGATGACCGATGGATTGGCAGATAATCGATCAATGAAATCGTTTCTAATCGTCCATTCGATTCTGTAAATTGGGCAGTGCCGTGTCGCCAACGCGCCTTACTAGAGCGTCCACAAATCTCCCAGATTGTGCCTGTCGTTTATCGACCCTGTGACCTGATCGGGCCCCAAGGCTGAAAGCGTGCGATAGCAATCGTGATGTCTCTGCTGATGAAACCATTCCGTTATTTGGATCGGTGAACGCCTGGAGGGCGGTCGTTCAAAGTTGAAAAACAGGGGGTCGACATTAATTTAGACAAATTTGAGCCCCTCGATGAGCAGGGTGTCTTCTTGGTTTTTGGGGCACGATAAAATGTTTTTGAGAGCTTGCTTCATCGCCGGAAGAGGTTCTATGCCACGCTGTGCCTCAGACTTCCCCACACAGCGGCGCAATCAGATGCGAAACACAACCTTGTTCCTGGGAAGTGACAGATGAAATGCGTTTCCTCTTGAGCCTGTTTCAGTCACCATGTTCTGTTTGACACTGAAAACTGTCCTAACAGACAGTCGGCATGCGTGATACAGTTGACGACAAAAGCCGAAGGAGATCCGATGTGACGTGTTAGCGTAACGTAGATACGGAGATGCGACAGAGTTAGACCTTCGGTCTTTTCGCTGCGCATGTACTAGGTTATGAGACGAAGTCTTATTTTTTCTGCTAAAACTAAACTGTGGGCTGGCCGATGGTATGAGTGGTTCAAACACGCCTTATGATAAACACCCCTGTCAGCGAGACTATGATGCTGAATTCACAACTCGTGTCCAGAGTGGTGGCTATGGTAGGTGGTACATAGGAAAAGTTGACTACCAGTCCTCGAGGACACATATCATAGTTGCAGAGGTTGAAATTGGTACAACAGTGGACCAATCAGAAAACCAGCCGATTTATTTCACTAGATTTGTGGGCGTCTCAAAAAGGTTGCGACTGTCCTTTGACGTAAGTGACTGACGGTGGCGCCCCTGTCCGGGCACCTCGGAGCACATAAAGGTTGGAGGGGTTATTGGCGAGTTTAAAGCTTCTACTGCCGACGAGTACAAAGTTCTCCCCATGACTGGTCGATAACTGACCCATCGATGCATGAGACTGAACTCGCTTATAGACCATTTCTGGACGGATCTCAATGACCGTCTGGGGACTTGGACGCAATCATGACACTACCCTCAGGTTTAACCACTTGGATTTCGATTCGCGAAACATGCTTGCGGCGACTGTTGATCGTTTAAGTCTCAGGAGGGTTTTCTAGCGTTCACTGTCCAATTAAAAATATTCAGGCTTTTCTTGAGGTGTAAAACGTATTTAAAACTCACTGATGCCGCTGAGGAGCCAATCTTGCTGGCGATGCAACAGTGTTCGTCGTTACCGGCGATAGCTATGAGGTTTGGGATGGACTGAATACAGGTCTACAATAAAAAGGAGATTTTTATGAAAACCAGATGCTCCATTTTGCATGTTTTGATAGACGCGGATCGTAAGGAGAAGAACAGAAGCGATTCACCATCATAAACAACAAGCGAGAGACACGCTGGATAGAAGCAGCTGTGTCAGGGTTGTCGCAGTACTTGTACAAAAACCCACCACGTTTTCGACTGTCCAAAATAGCTACTGAAGTAACTAATTCGTGTAATTTATAGTGGTTAATAACCAGTCTTAAAGATCTCCTAGATGCAGCCGTCAGTCATAACCAACTTTGTAAGAGTGGTGCCATAACAGTTTTTGGTCTCATTATTACTTCATTACTCTTCAAAGCCTCCAAAGCAAACGAAAGATTGATGGAGCATTGGAAACGCATCATGTCCGCATAGGAATGAGTTGCAGCACAGGTTATTTTTGTCTCTAGATCGGTATGAGGACGCCTAATCAGGTGTGCGAAATTCGGTTGAAGAAGGAGTCCGGTAAGTACGAATGCACGAGGAAAAAGACGGTTAAAAGTGTGTACTTGTGTCTCAACTTGAAAAGATCAGCCAGGGTCTCGGCAATGATGGCATAAAGTTTAAAAAAGCGGCTTTCGAAACTATTTTTTGACGGATGTTCTTAACTGGAAACCGCAGTTAATCGAAAGACCTTAAATTATTTAAGGGTTTGCGACTTGCGGAAACAAATGTGATGTTTGCCAAAGTCATAAACAACGACTTTCCAACATGAAGAACATCGCCCTAGTAGATCAGAGTAGAAAATAAGTAACCATCGGTAAATCAAATCAAACAGTAGTCAGAGCAGTTCAAAGAAAATTTAAGATGTTCATTAGAAAATAGAAACAATTGCGAGTCACACAAAAGTGTTGGAAATCAGTTTTTGGACCAATCTTATAATCACTTCCAGTTCTTAGGTCATGCTACCTGAGAATTCTATTTTCACTATTGTCAGTATTAAATTTTTCCGATTACTTTTCTGGTGACAGGATTCAGTCTAGACAAACACCAAAATAAACGAAACCAAGCATCAATTCAGCAGTACTTTAGTACGATGGCAGGTGCGGCAGCGTCCAATCGTACAGCTTAGAATACATTAATTAGCCTACTAGTTGTGTTTTAGTAGGCCTAATGACAGGATTAAAATTTACATAGTCCTTCAGCTGACAGTCTGTAGCTTACCGTGTTTCTTTTGGTGTTCCAGAACATCACGCATCTTTCTTGTGTGTCCGCCCTAGTAAAGGCGTAGACAAGCGTACTAGTACTCCGGCAATAAGCCCACTGATATTTTGGCCTCAGGTTTGTGAAGTAGATGAACGAATCAATAGCAAGGGCCAGTCGAAGAGAACCCGAACCTTCCCAGGCGCAAGCCGAGGGCTGTTTTCCAGGTACACTCAGAGTATGCAAGTGCTATAAATAAGCAATTGTTATGGCAGTAAGAATGATAAAGCGAAATCGAAACAACTGTTAATGAAGGAAAGATCTAATGAAAGATCCATAAGTCCCTATATAAAAGACTCAAAACAGTCGGTCGTGGCCTCGTATCATAGGAATTTAGACAGTTAGTTGTACTGAAGTCCTTCTCCTCCTGGCTTGGGTGAAAACCCTGTTGAGGCCGCCGTCCTACTCACAATTGGTCAGGCAGTTAATATATATATATATACCTATTATATTCTACAAAGCTTACCCTAAGCGAAAGCCCGGAAGCTTCCGACGTCACGAAAAACAGGTGATGTTAGAAATAATTCATGATGCCATGAAACTTCACGAATGTCAAAGATGATAATAAGGGATTATTTGAATGTTTGCTGATAACTAAAATGTCTTTCAGAAGACTGCAGTAGTGACTTAGAACTTACGTCACCAAGAGGGTTGTAAAACTGTACAACACCTAGACCGCGATCGGTCTGCTGTTGTCCAGATGCAAATTTTTGTTGTCCACCAACTGCCAGAACTGAGCCATTTTCATTCCAAGCGGCGCAAGTGATATGAATGCCCGTTTCAAGGAGCGTCGGCGCTAAATAAAGGATGATGTGGATGAAGGTATGCGAAAATTGGCTCGCAATGCCAGGTGCGGACTGCTACTACTCGTGTGAGGTTTTGGGAGAGTACGGATAGCAATTTTCCTGAATGCATTATGTCACTATTGCAGGACACAAGAAACAACTCTTAAACACAACCGCTGTAACACAAGGACCTCACTTGTATCATTTTCATTTTTCATTATTTGGCATCGTCCAACGTCGTAGCAAATGGCAAGTACGGGGCAGTCTTGTTCAAAGTAGCCCTTTTCGCCTCGGTACCAGGTTATGCAGACTAGTGAGACTGCTCCGTGAATATCATAGAGACAATAGATCGGTAGCTTGTTCTAGAAAAAGCAAAAGGAGAATAACTATAATAAAAACAAACGTGCAATTTGTGCAGACAGAAAGGGCAAACCATTTGACAGAATGTATCTTGGTGCCTTCATTTCGTGACATAACAGTGAGAGTAACAATGTCCATAAGTGCACATCAGGCAGTTTTCCGTAATCTTCCAAACATTTGATTAATGCCCTTGAATAACTGAAAATATGAATATTAACGGGCTTCGAATGTTAGGAAACTAATCATTGGTAAGGGGCGCTCACCGCTCACTAATCATTAGTATGCTCCAATATAAGAAACTCGAGAACACTATTCGGCAGAATAAAAAATAAATAAATAGTAGACAGCAATAGTATGGCAGGCGAAATCGAAAACAGCCAAATATATTAGCTATTTCCTGCAGCGGGTAGGCGTGAATGGCATCTGGTCCCAAGTGCGTAGCCTTAGTGCCAGTGTCTTCTGCAACACCAAGATTTTGGTCTTCTTGATTCCCACTGAAGTCGTTTCCACTGGGCATTTATATCATTTAAATATGAAACGAGTTGTTGAAATTTTTCGCAAGCCCGTTAAGACACATAACCGATTATGTCGAGTCTCAGCTTTCTCTGATGGATGCCCAGGACTTTCAAGAATTGTAGAGTAGGCAATTTGTATATGTCAGAAAAACGCACTGAGCTCATAAAACTTAAAACACTAGCATGGCTAAGAAAATTTGCCGCTTGACAGTGACAGTCATTCTTATAACATGACACCTGCAAACAAATTATGTATTCTTTGTAGGGAAACGTAGTACCTTGAGTTATATTCATTCTCTTAGCAGTGAGTTATATTGTTGGTATAACAACGTCCACAAAGTAAACATTCAAAACTTGAATATGTCCATATAAAAATAATTGGACGTAAAATAGACTGTGGGTAGAAAATAGACCAGGGAGCAAGAGCTAGATTTGGTACTGTTTTGATTAGAAAAAATATTTCCATCAAATCTTTAAAATAGAAAGATTAAGTTTAAATAATTGGTAGACAGTTATTCCCTTACATATTTGGCCAGGTTAAAACCGACGCGTCATGAGCTAAGCCGTTTGACATGCCCGAATCGAAGTGATAGCACTCATTAAACTTCAACATAATATGACATACACATTTGGAGCAGGCGACAGAAGCCTTGGCGATGCAACCCATCCGTACATAGATTTTGAATAAACATTTGGATCAAGTGGAGTGAGTGTTCATTTTTTCTTCGCCAACGAGTCTTTTCACTGGCAATTCTATTTGTTTTAGATGTGTTTCATTAATATAAAAAATTTTATAAATGGTGTTTCATCCCTGCCAGCACCAGCCCCGCCTAGCCCCGCCTGGCCCCCTCAATAATGGCGGGGCTAGAGGGGGCTATGAGGGGGCTAGGCGGGGCTGTGGAGGGGGCTGTGGCGGGGCATGCAACGCGATAGCCCCGCCTAGCCCCGCCAGCGAAAAAAAATGCGCAAGGGACGCCACATCCCAGCCCACTTTTGGCACCACTTTAAAATATCGTCCCGATTGTCAAATATACGAATTAATAACACACACAGATTGTAAACCGATGGACAAATAAGAGTTTACGCAATGAGGGACTTAAACAAAACCTCAATATATTGTGCTCATCCGCAGCTACATTCAGTGGGCGTAAACGGATGCCTTCTCCATGGTTTATAAGCCAATTTTGATAAATTAGCTCCTTTAAATTCCAAAGAAGGTACAATAAGTGGTGCTTTTGGAACATATCTTTCGATGCAAATACGCTTCAAAAGGCTTCAATCCAGAGGGGGCTCTGGCCCCGCCCAGCCCCCTCCAGCCCCGCCTATGAAGGAGCCATGTGCTGGCAGGCGGGGCTCTGGCCCCACCCAGCCCCTTCCAGCCCCGCCTATGAAGGGGCAATGTGCTGGCAGGGATGGGCTTTCAATAAACTCATATACTTAAAGCACTTTTAGGTAAAATCATGTTTGTTAGAAGGCAAAAAATTACCACAAAGCAACTGATTTCCAAGGGAATTTGTTGTTACAACAACAGTGGATCCACTCTTGTTTTCTTCTAATTTTAGATATTCCTTGCTTATAATGTGTTTTGTACCATTCCCTATACTGAAACGTCCTGGAAAAATTTGGCGCAGTAAACTTAGTTTTAAATTTCAGATTGCTGCAGTTATTAAGTGTCTGACCCATTTCCAGTCCAATTTATCCGAAATTGACAATTAAATCAGATTTTTACGACAAGTATTGTACTGCCGAAATGAATGTTAAAGACGCAAAAACGATAAAAGATCTGAATCTTTCGTGTCCTTAAATCATGTCTGAATGTAAGCGTTGTACAGAAAAAATCAAATTAAGACAACATTTCGGGCGTTTCGATGGCATGAGTTGCAAAAAGCTCCCAGTGCAAAAATGAGGACAGTCCCTTTAGGCAACGCACGCTGTCCGCTTCGTTTATTGTGGAACGAAAAAAAAAATAAAACATGCAAGGCAACGAGTCACTGGTAAAAAATGCAGATATACCAGAAATATTCCGAGGGAGTCGTAGACGTGAATTTCACCAGAAGACAGGCCAAAGAGGATGGAACGACCATGTGGAGCCCATTCAACGGCTGCTAGTTCAGTGCATTTGAGTTCTTTTCCCCAAATCCGATTCCCATCCACAGATCCAACAATGACTGCACCATCTTCGTATGCGATGCATATTCTTCGACCGCCCTTGTCCCACTATTTGACGTCAAGTACTGTACACGGCGCACCTTTAGCCCACGAACTGTGGACTTGTTTCTGTTGTTAATCATCTCCTCGAACCAGTTTCCTTTGTAGAGCATCCAAACGATTATAAGACCATGTTCGTCTGCTGATGTTATTTTTTCATATTGTTCGTTCCAGGTTATGACTTGCACCATACCTGTGTAGCTGAGACTTTACAGTAGAATTTACCATTATGGCCTTCCAATGTTTGGTTCATTGCCAGATTAGTAGGAGCTGCCAACCCAAGCGTACTATCCTCTTTTTGAGCTTCGAGCTTCAAGACTTTCAGCAGGCCCTCCTCTCCTCCACAAGCAATGTAGCCATGCTCTGTACTCCAGGCCAAAGACTTAAGTTTTTTGTTGTTTGGAATGGCTATCTTGCTCAGAGTCAGGAAAGAAAGGTCATTTACCTTTTTACTTAAATAAGCAAACATGCTGAATATAGACGGCTTTTTGACACGTGCTCTCTGATTGGGCAATACTTGATATTAGTTTACTTTGGTTACTTTTTAAAATAATGACTTAGAAATTCGTAATAGAAATTGAAGAGGACAAACAAACAGCACACGACACGAAAGTTTAGAAATACTCGTGTTGTAAATACGTTGACATATTTCATTTCTTAATTTTATTTGCTTTCGTTCATATATTGCACCGAGATATACCTTCTTCCCCTGATTGAACTTTTATCATTAACGCAAACATTCCAGCCCTGAAAAGACTTTTACGTCGGTCGACCAGAGTAATCAAAAGAAGCTCAGCAGTCTTTTATGGGATATTTTAAAGTTATTCGCCGAATGAAGCAGATGTCTGGCCACTGTATGATTAATTCCGTACTTAAGTTTCAGAATAAATTTTAGACCATGTAGGTTAGACGTGTTAACGAGGAGGACAAAACTCAATTAAAAATCGAAATTAAATTTATATTTCCTTCGGTGCTTTGTAGCCGGTTTACGTTTGCTTAAAACGTGGTCGAAACTGTCAAAGTACTTCAGTCTACGTAGTTCTGTCACATTCATGGGAATGGAAAAGGAGTCACTACCAAAGCACAGCGCTGGCACATGTAACCGCTATGGTTTCCAGCATGCTTTCCAACTTATTTATCCAAACCCTCATGTGAGGAGCGAACAGGCACACGTATTTTCAACCCCGATATCTAATACCCGAATCGGAAACTTCGTGTCAGACCTATAACATTACTTATGGCGTCTGTCGCTTTCTATACTTAATATACCACTTATCGCCGTTTATTCTCTTTGCATTTCATGCTAAGTTTCAGTCATGGTTAACTGCCATGTCTTATAGCTAGTCGTAGGTCTAGCACGATGTGTAATGATTGAGGATGGTGAATAGTTACCAATATCAACTCCGAAAACACTCATTAATGCCTTGAGAATAGGCGAGTTCTCAAATAGAGTACTGGAGTCTCCAATCACCGGACAGGTATTGCAGTTGCTATCAACGGGATAATTCCGAAGTGGCATTTACATGTGCATTGACGGACAAGTGAGTAGCTTTATCACTCCGAAGATGAGTGGAAGATATTCGAAAGGGATTCTTTTGAGAGATTAGAGCAGAGTTGAGGCTTGTTTTTAAGTAAATGACTGCAAACTCAGGCTTTTTGAAATTATTACCCACAGTTACATTTAGGTTTTCTACTACATGGGGCCAACGTTATATTTCTCGGCGTTCTACATTTCGCAGGTTATGGCTTTTACTGTCCTCAACTGCGCACGACTGAGCAAAATCCAACTTTCATTCGAATTCAGCAATGAGTTTCCACTGAAGTCATGTCGACTTGAAGCCTAACTTTAGCTTATTAACCGCTTACAAACAAATTCGAGAGCAAGAATCTTTGGACGTCGGATGCTATCTGCTCTTTTACTCGATTATCCTCCTCAAAAATGTCGTCTGCAAAGTATAAACACGTTGTTTATGCCAGGTCGCTCGGTCTGTCCACTTTATATAACAGCGTTGACTTTCTGATGAAGATGTGTTCCCATATTCCCTCCATTGGCAAAATTGTCGTCTGTAATGATCCCGGCATCCTATCGGAGGCTGCAAAGGTATTGACTCGCCTCGTTCATCTGGTTGCCAGTCAAGCCTATGATGGGAAAAATAGAGCCAATAACTTTCTCCTAAAAGTGTGACTTTGTCCACTCAGATAACCGAGTGTATTGTAGATCTTTTCTAATTATATGGCTTAAAATATATCGGGGACGGTATAGCAACTACCTCCGAGTATTAATAATCCGACGATTTTCGTAAGGCCTTTTTCGTCAGTCAATATTGATTCGCTCTTGACTCCTCGTGAACGAGGTGGTGATCAGTTCCGAAGGGTAAAACTTGGCCGTTGTCACGACATTAGGCCAATGAATAGAAGATATGGCTCTTCTTTCAGGAGTTTTTTTCACTGCTTGTCGGATTTTTGGTTAATTCTCCCCTTGACAGTGCCTGTTAACTGGCATTAAATAAAATAATCATTATTATTATTATCGTAATTAAATCCTCATTTTTTCAGTCAGACATACACAACTGGGGTCGTAGTGTTATTAACTCGGAACAATCGGTTGATTTTACCGCCCGGACATTCCGTTTAGTGACCACTCTCACTTTTCGTACTTACTCATGCTGATATTTACCACCTTTAAGTGCTTTATTTATCAGTAGCGTCTACAACAGTCGCTTTTGACTCTGTTATAAAATCAGCAGTATCGTGCACACTTCCGTCTGAGTCAAGAAAAACAGCAGGTTTTTCACTTCAGTTTGGCTATCTGTGCTTTTCTGCTATCTGTTTTGAAACCCACAGTAAGAACATTGTGACTTCAAAACCTACACTATGAATAAGCACATTAAATGTCAACTGCACAAATAAGAGTTTGTGAATTTCCGACGTCCGCTGAATTATCGCTGATCTAAAGAAGTAGATGACCCACAACCATGCCTCGAAGTACGCTACTCGTGATCGAGTGAGGTGTTGAGTAGTTGTTACCAACCATGACTCTCCAATAGCGGTTAGGCAGGTAGGACCAGATGAAGTCGACTAGAGGCGGTCGAATGCAGAGGGTTTTCAAACTTATCAAAAGACGTCTCTGTGGCACTTCGTCAAAGGTTTTATAAAGGTCAGGTTAGTTTTGTTTTGATCGGTTTGACGAGCGTCTGACCGAGAAAAGCAAGAGTTGATTTCAGGAGTGTTATGACCCGGTAGAAAGGTAGGACAGGCAGAGAGCCGGTTCGGAGGACAAGCACTTTATTGGAACTTGCGGACAGGAGGGAGTTACAACTCGTAAGAAAGGTGTGCTATTTATTGGCTCCCGTGCGTTCTGGAACATTCCGTCCAATGACGTGCCAGTCATAGAGGGCGTTCTAGAATGTTCCTGTCCCGAGCGTGCTGGTCGCTGATTGGCCACCGCGTGCGCGATGACCCCGCCGCGGAAACGTCTGGAATGTTCGGCCATCCATTGGTTGGGCCGCACACGTGAGCAAAGCCACCAGGCGTGCTCGGCGCTGCAGTGCGCGCCGGTCGGTTGTCTAACTTCGCGCGTGACTCACGTCGCCCACTTGGTCCTTTGTTTGGCGCCTTAGGCCGTGGCTCTACGCCGCTTTCACTCTCCATAACAAGGAGAGGCACACAATTGTCCTCTCCTAGGGGTTCGATAATGACAAAAGAACATTTTGCATCGTACAGGTATGTAGAAACACGTTCTCCGTTGGCAAATATTGAATCAGCCTTGACTGGCGAAAACAGCTTGACTAAAATAGGCGGATCTTTGCTATGGCATTACAATCGTTGGCATCCGCCATCTCATAGTTGAATTCGCATAAGTCCAGGATGTCAACCGCAACATCAACTTACTGATCGGACAAGGAAAAACTTTTCAATAAGAAACCAAAAGTTTTTGTCTATCGCATGTTTAATTATCAACCAAATGAGAAGTGGGGAAGACGTTAACATTCTTGTGCGAGGACATCGGAGATGTTTCCATTAAACACCGATATAAATTTAAGACAAGGTACGCCATGCTCGAAGTATGGGCCAACTTCTACTCTCACCGGGTGATTAATGTTTGGAAAAAACTACCGGATTCGGTTGTGCTGGTGGAAAGTGTTTTGACATTTAAATGGAGACTTGATAGTATTTTATATGATGTTCATATATTTACTTGATGAGAACTGATAAAATGTACCGCATATCTGCATACACAAATGCACATTTTTTTAGTCTTTGTCTCTGCATAGGGTTTTCAAAGGCTCTTACTTTCCACCTTACATATACTGAATACTGAAAACAATCCTCGTAATGTTAAGAGCATAGTTACAAACTTCAACATTAGATTACTGTGGTGGTGTAACGCACGAAGATCAAGCTACCTGTAAGTAACAAATGGTGGCGAACGACTATTTATGCTTTCTGGCCTGGATTTACTTAAGCCACGCCGACCTGTGACTTTTGCTTCCATCTTATCCTAACGTAAGCCTAAATTGGCCGAAAACGTATAGCATATCATGTTAACTAATCTCAGCGATAGTTTCCCGGTGTAAAAATGTACATTATTGAAGACAGTAACATAGGGTGCACAAAATACGAATTGCAGAATGCAATGAGTGATCAGCAGGCGCAGTCAAAGGGAAGTGGTAAACGACAATTCTAAAAGCATAGATGTGTATTATAGGAAATTCATTCAAATATTAGGGGCTTAAAGCGTTTCTGTTTCATAAAAAATTGTTTTATATAATATCGTTGACGCATGTTCGACTGTGAAACTCGCAACCTGACAGGAGAAGTTATGATTAATGTTTGCTGCAGGTTATTCCATTTTTTCACTGCACGATTTATCAAAATATTTTCTCAAATCCAATCTCCCTTGCGCACACGCTGTTTGGAGGAGTGTCCGGAGGTTGGTTGTAATGGCGAGTTGAAATAAATCTCCACGTAGGGGAGCGAAGTCTAACGAATTACGGTACGTAAAGTATGATTCGAGTCGCCGCGCAAATGCCTTGACCGCGGTGAGAGGGATTCAGGTCCTACGCACTAGCCTTGTATGGCAGGGCTCCTTGAACTTTTATTAATTTTGTGG